GGTTCGAATCTTGTCCCCGGCGCCATGTCAAACCTAAGACATTAACATAGGTAGTTCCCTCGATAAATCCAGCATAAGAGTTAAATGTCACGGATCTTTTGGATAAGATCTTTTAAATTAAAACAGAGATTGCATGTCATGTTAGGCATTCAGGCAAAAAAGATCCCTCCAAAGCAGAATTGTCTTACTTTTAATGATGAATGTATTCAGATTTTTAACTACTTTGAATAATTAAACCCAAAAAATGACTACGTAAACAAAAGTGACTAATTAAACAGTAACATTACACATAGTTGCCACTTACGATGTAAAGACTATATTTTAGACTTTATCTCTACATAGATGGTAGCCATGGCTACACTTGGAATATATTTTATGTGTTTAAATGCCCAATGTTTACTATAATTGCATCATGTATGGGTTACATGACAAAATTCAATTGCCAATGGCAAAAGAAACAACAACAAAAAACTCACTTTGCATAAATAGGTTATTATAGCAATATCAATCTTAAAGTAAATGCCCTTTTGCAATAATAACACAGCAATGTGGCACAAAATTTGTTGCTTACGTTTAATTTTGATAAAAAATTCCATCTAGTGATAAGATGTGGAGAATAGAATCTACGATCGGTAAAACAGCAAAGTGGCACAGGTTTCATTTTACTAAAAAAATCCATCAAGTGATTAGATATGGAGAATCGAATCTACGAAATTAATTCTTTTAGACCCTGTTAACGCAGAGAGCACAAAAATAGTTCCTATCTTGGTTATGATACCGAAAAGAAAAAATGTTAAATTTTCCTAATGCATGTATCTTAGTAGTATTGTACCGTATGTTATACATGTAGTTTATTAGTTATTATTAGCTTCAGTAAGAGATTGTGTAGGACAAGAACTGAAAGCCAGGTTATTGTTGATACTTTATATATGTATATCAATTTAAAATTTAAAAAACCTGAATATTTAATTTTTTAAAGATTTTTTTTATACATTTTCCCCCATATATTTTCCATAATACATGTATTACATGTAATACATAGCGACGCTCTATATTTAGAGTAAGTTCTGAACTTTTTAAAACGTGGAAATTTAGACCAGACCATTGCCTATAAATTTGCATTCCACTTGTTTAGAGTTTAATCTTACTGAAAAAATATCAAAAGATAAAAACTTGAGGAGAGTTAATTAGAAATTACTTTTCAATATTATTTCCAAAGCAACCCTCGTCGATCAAAGTTATCTTCTTATTTTTCTTGAAATATCCAAATCATAATTGCTTTTATTTTGGAATGTTTAACGAAACAAAGAAATATTAAGAAATTATTGCTTTTTATACTTTTTTTCCAAGGTAACAAGACAGAAAGTTGTTTGTTTTTGTTTGTTTTTGTTTTTTTTTTACTTTTGGACACAGTCATTGCCACTTTTCTGAATTGCTGTGAACATTAATAATGGGACTCTAAACACGTTCATAAATATTATTTTTCAAAATTTAGAGCATGTTGCCATGGTAACCATGTATATTGCAACACATCTTTGCCTCACATGAATTAAAGGTATCCAAAATTACATTGTCCATTTGCATTCAAGGCAGCAAGTTTCTGACTTTTATACACAGTCATTGTCACTTTTCTAAATTGCTGAAAACATTAATAATCTGACTCTGAACATGTTCATACGTGTTATTTTTTTCAAAATTTAGGGCAAGTTGCCATGGTAACCATGTTACATAGCAACAAATATTTGCCTTATGTGAGTTAATAGTTTCAAATCCTTTGATAACACATATAGCATGTTTGAAGAAATTCTGTGACTATGTATTCTCCTGCTCATATATAAAGGTCAAAGTAATTGCAGAGAATGAATCTTTCAAACACTCAATGAAATCAAGTGGTTGTTATGTTCTCAAAATCGTTTCCATGGGAAATCTATATAACAAAAATACTTTTATTAGGTCCATAATACATTTTTAATTTTGCTTAACTGCAATTTTAGGACTAAATTTGAAACATTTTTTACCACTGTACATGAATATCTGCCAAAAATAAGTTTTGCGGCCTTGTTGCTATGGGGAATTTGCTGTTGCCATGGAGATAAATAACTGTACAATAGTCTTTAATTTGCTAAGAAGTCTGATTTATGTTCTATCACTTTAAAATTTATTTCTAGTACTCTAATATAACAATTTATACAATTTTTCTGTGTAACACTGTACAATTATTCACTATTTATCAAAACACCCATTATTGTTGCTAGGCAACGGACACTTATTTTCAAAAACCCCACGTGTTTGAATTCGGATTTCATCAGAGACATTCCTCTACTTTTATGTGAAATACATGCAAAAGCTGAAATTTTTAGATGCAAATTTTAATTTGACCTTGAATATTGCCAAAATCAAGAAAAATGCTGAATCAGCAAAAAATGCAAAACATGTATATCTTCCAAAGTCTATTACAGAACTAACTTTAAATCTGATATCTTCGTGTTGGGTTGTTAAAACACTTAAAATGTTTATCTTCTTTATGCTTGTAAAGAGGACTAATTTAAGTTTATTCATATTTACATTTCATTTCAAGTTTTAAAAGATAAGTGATTTTTTGTCCTACCACATGGAAAAATTGGCCGGTTGCTAGGGAAATTTCTTTGACCAGGTTTCCATAGTAACCATGAACTAAAACATTTTTTATTTTACATACATGGATCATAGTGCAAGAGAAATCTATGCGTGGAAAATCATCAAATTCTTAGAACCTTCATGTATGTCTTTTATACCCATTTTGTCTGATTTTTATATGGACTGGTACTTAAACATCTTGGAAACTCACATTCTGGGAAATATTCTCTTTTATTACATTTATGTTAAACGTATAATTAATCAAAATATAAGCAGTCGTACTAGTTAGATTTTTTCTTAAGACATGTGATTGCCGTAAAATTCCGAGAGACCGTTTTAGTATGAAAATCCTAGATATGACAATTTTTATGAAACTTTGATGTTCTGATAGGGTCACTTGTTTCCTTACTTACATAAATGTTCTACCAAGCCTCTTTCTTTACTCCTCATTAAAATGTTAACAGTACTGAAAGAGAAACTTCAGGAGTGATGTGCAACAATATATTCGGGAAATGGTGTAAATCAGATGTGGATACTTAAAAATTCCAAGGAACTTTTGGAAAATTTGAAATCACAAAATTTTACCAAAATCAACAACATAAAAACTTACGACTTTTCAACTTTATATACAACAATTCCCCATGATAAATTAAAGTCCAGGCTTTTTTATATCACTGACAGCTGCTTTTTCAATAAAAATGGAACTCGTAAATTTACTTTCTGACAAATCTGTTTCATATTTGAATATTTACTAGAAAAAGACGTTAATGGAAGTCTAACAACCAAGCTTTGTGATAAACTTGATGACTTTAACTTTTCAACTTCCCTTACTTATGCAGGAATATACCTTCATCACCTGCATACGGGGTATATATCTCTCAGTTGATTCGATACGCAAAAGCATGCTCTACGTAATGAACACTTTCTAAAACGAGGTAAGTTATTGACAAACAAGTTGATGAAAAAAGAATATCAGCAGTCTCGTTTAAAGTCGTCATTTCGTAAGTTCTATTGTCGATACAATGACCTTGTCAGTAAATACAAATTATCATTACGTCAAATGCTGACTGATGTTTTTCATACTAATTGTTAGGCCATTATTTACACACTGAATTGTCGACGGATTTTTCCGTTATTTCCCGGTCATGACAAGGAGCACACGGCGGGTGTGACCGGTCGGCAGGGGATGCTCACTCCTCCATGGCACCTGATCCCACCTCATGTTTTAGAAGTCCGTGTTTGCTCTGCTCCAAAATTTGTATTGTTTAATGGACTTTTGAGCTTGAATACTATTCGTTATCTCCATATGTTTCATTCCTCTTCCCTCGTACTTGGAATGAGTACGCAAGAGGGTAAGGGACTTAATCATCGCTGTGTGTGTGTGTGTGTGTGTGTGTGTGTGTTGCTCTCATTGTTTTTGAAATGACTTTTAATTCATCAAGGTCTAAGTTCTTAGATGACTGATGATGATACTTAACGAAAAAAGGGAAAAAAGTCTAATTTCCCCATGTGCACAACAACATAGCCTGGTTCCGGCCTACCCATAATGTTCTGCACTGTGCGGAGCATTATGGGTAGGCCGGAACCATGTTACGAAAAGTCTAGAGAAAACAAGTTTGGCGCGGTTTCTGACCTCTCTAAATTTTCCTTGTAATTCCGGGACGCCTCTCTATTTTACATAGTTAAAACTGGCACTTTTGTTGCTTTCAGTTTCAGTGCTATATAGGTATCGAGGACGTTTTGGATTACTGCCTGTTTTACAGTTTTATACGGCAAGTTCAAATCGGCAGACGATTGAAGGGCGTTAATCAATCACTGATTTCTAAAGCTAGATCTCACCTGACACCGGTAGGGAAAGTGTAGATATTGATTAAAATCAAATGTTAAATAAGGCACCTACTGAAATCCAAGATGGCAACTGTCATACCCTCACTCTTGTTATACATTTTATATCGGGGGGGGGGGGGGGGTTAGGTCCGTGGTTATATACAGTAACGTGCTAATTTCAGCGATTTTTTTGGTTTTTATTTTAATGAGTGTATTCAGACAAACATAGAAAACACCTAATACACAAAAATGCATTCTCCTGAAACCAAGCGCTTATGATTTGATTAATGAACAGTACTTTGTTGTCTGAAGATTTTTCCTGGGTAAAAAGGCAAACAACCTACATGTATATGTTAAAAATGAACTATAAATAATTTTAATACGTACACCTCTAAGCTATATAATTTTCTTAAAGTACAAAAAACATTTTTCTTTATTTATAGAGGGTGCTAGTCCTCTGCGTTCATTTGGTTAGCTGTACTTAGTTTCTCTGTTTATTCCGGAATTTGACTTTCTCTCAATACAACCAAGTAGAACTTGAAACTTTACGTTGCGTGGACGACTTCTGGTAGGCCTTCACCCGCCGTCTTGGGTCGAACTAGAGAAGAAAAAACATAAAATTCTTGTATTTTTAAGTAGATACCAGTACACAGGTTAGTTATTTTGAAGAGATATTGAATTATTTCAGCTTATTCAACCGTAAACTATGAACCTGGAATTGGTTTTATGAGTTAATCCAAGTCTTAGTCGAAGTCTCAGTTTCTTTCTTTGTTGTCAATATGGTGTCCAGTTGTCTGCAAGACAAAAGTTCTGAATTTTTCAAGTTATTTGGCCCAAACTTATTGCTCAACCAATCTTACATTTTCCATAGACGTCATTTATGTATATTGTATGGCCATGTTAAGATGGATATTGAACCGAATCAATGACAAGTTTCTGTCATAGGCGCTTGATTTCAGGATGGTGTATTTTGTGTATAATGTGTTTTTTTAATTCTATGTATGTCTAAATACACTGATTATAGTAAAAATCAAAATTCACTGAAATAAGCATTTTTAAAGATATCATATTTCTGTATATAAAAAGACACAAGATTCGCAATTCTCCAACTTGGATTCCAGGAGGTGCCTCGGTTGAATCAGTTCACACTTGATATTATTCAATTTTATGATCGAATAACTCCCTTCTATGTTCTATCCATGTGTGGATCTAGAGGGGGTCGAGGGGTCTGAACCCCCCCCCCCCCCCTGGACTTTGCAGAGTTATTAAAAGTATATACTGAAGCAAATAAAAATGACTTTGGACCCCCCCCCTTGAAAACGTGCACCACACTATCATCACCACCACGAATAGGTTTTTTCACGTTTGGGAAATGGATTTTTTCAGGGGTTTTTTTTTTTGTTTGTTTGTTTTTTTTATAAAAAATCCTCTATCCGTGCTTGCTATCGTCTGCCGATTTGCAATTGCTGTATAAAATATGAGGTAAATCCAATCGTCTTTGTTATCTTAGACTAGCACTGAAACTGAAAGCAACAGAAGTGATGATTTCTGACTGTGTAAAGTATAGAGGTGTATAGAGGGAAAGTCGAGAGAGGTCAGAAGCCATGCCAAACTTGTTCTCTCTAGACTTGCAATTCCGAGACGCCTCTAAACTTTACTTAGTCAGAAATCATTACTGCTGAACCAGTATTTTTTTTCAACTTGATGGGAATGGTTCCCATGCTGATTCAATTAGGAAAAATAGGGTCGAAATAGAAAATTTTGGAAATTTTCCATCAACAAATGATGTTATATTCTTTTATTTTAAACTGGTTAAGTATTGATCTACTTTTTAAATATGATTTAAAGCAAATAAACAACCTATTCATTGCTTTATATATTAATGTCTCTAGACTTGTTCTCACACTATCATGCTTTCAAGTTGTCAATGATTACAAACAGTAGGCTGTCTACAACATGCATCACATCATATTATGACTGATATAAGATGTACAGTGCGGGAGTTAACTTGTGATTTCAATTAAACATTTAACGTGACGTCAAATTTGACTTCAATGATGACAAGCAATACAATCCCGATGTATTTAAAAGAAAATGGTAATAGGCTCGGAATCCCATCCTTGATTATTTGCGCATTTGTATTAAACCCCCTCCCTTCTATCAAAAAGAGAAAAGAAAGATTATCCCTTCAATTTCGTAAATTTCATATACATGTACCATGTACAACATTTTTTATCTGAAAAATATCACATTGTTTTTTTCCATTACAGTTGGCTACATAACATTCAGAATATCGGTCTTTCTTATATATTTTTTTAGTCTCAAAATTGGGAAAATCAATGGTTTTTGGCATTGGGAATTGTAATTGTATTAGGGATGAATGGTATTGTTTATCAGTACCAGTTATCACAAGTTTGACTCTACTCATTATATGTTGTTGACTGTATGTTCTTCAATACCTTTATAACTTGTAAGTTGTAATGAGAAGGCATTAAGAAAATCAAGCATTCCTTTGAAATGAGATTGGAACTTAAAAAGAAAATCAACTATGTAATTTAAATTTGTAAAAGGTGACAAAGAGTTGGGTTCAAATACATTTTTTATATTCAGTATTTCAGCTGTACTCTTCCATCCTATTCAGGCACATAGGAAGCCATTTCAGTTTTGGGGGAACAACCTAATAAAAAAATCTACACAAACTAGAAAAAAACAAACAAAAAACATGACAACAACAAACTAACCAAAAACAAAAAAATGGTTTTGAGGGGGCAGAGCAGCTCTGTTTTCTAATGTATAGTATGTACATGTATATATAATACTGGCAAAATAATTGAGGGGGCACATCTGTAAATTAGCTTTTTCTACAGTAAAACAAGTAATCATGACCATGATGACCATGATAATATTATTTTTTGCTTGATAATACATTCTAAATCAGGCATCTTGCTTTCCCCTCCATTTTAATCAACTTGCCAAGAAAACTTCTGTTTTGTAGGCAGCGCAAACATTTTTTTGTCAGCAATTGATGGATCAATAATCATAATTCATTTATAAATGTATCATATCTTAGTATTGATTTTTGTCCATTAGTTTTGATTGATTATTATTATATCAAGGTTTTATGAGTAGTATATATATATATATTTTTTTTTTGTTTTTTTGTTTTTTTGTTGTTGTATGTGTGGAAACCTCTTTGTTGTACACCAACTAAGAGAGAGAGAACATATTCTTTGATGCAGTATTATTAGTGCTAAGGGCTATTTATGGGGATTATACAGACAGTATCTATAAGGATGTTTTTGGTACCTCTGTGCCTTTATGTGTACTATCTATTAGATGACTTTTCATTCTATTTTCAAACAGATTTGACTTCCTTTACTTAGTAGGTCATAACCACAATAATAGAACATGATCAAGGTAAATATGCAAAGACTACCCAAAAAAAAGGGGGGGGGGGAGAAAATTAATGTAGTAATTAATTATTAACATACATGTAGTGTAAAAAGTCAGTGGTGTAGCTAGACACAAAATGTAATGCATGCTCAAAATGGCAAGGAGTCGGGGGGGGGGGGGGGGCTAAGGCTCCTAGTGGGTCCAGGGCAAAGACCTGATGGGGGCCCAGAGGAAAAGCTCCTGGTTTCTGACGATTTAAACACTCGTAAAATCTTAAAATAAATTGAAGAATGTCTAATTTTTCGTTAGAATAATAATACAAGGCGGCATTAAAAAAGTAGAGAGCGTATTAATTTTTTTTAAATAAAAATTTTAATAGCATTCTTTTAACTTTAAAATAGGGACTTTCGTAGTTTACGGGCGATTATGAACGAAATAATAAAATTTATAGCCCGTATAAAATCTTTCGGCAATGAATTTGCAAAATTTAAGAAAGTTAACAAAAATTGAAAAAAAGAAGTTTGGACATGTATATTCTTGACTCACAAAGTGGACAAATTTTAACTAAATAGGTTACCAAACGTAAATAAATAAAACAGAGAAATTGTCTAGCATATTCTAATTAAAAGTTACACTTTTTTCGGAAGGGGGGGGTGTTAATACTTTTTTAAGCGTCCTGATTCCTTCAACCTTAACATTTAATTGATTAAAAAATGTTTTAAAAATAATCAGTTAACTTCTTGAGGATAGCTGTCTTAACAAATTTCGCACTCGTACTTGAATTTTTTTCCAGGAAATAAAATTGCTTAATAGCAGAGTTGTACATTTACGGATGAATTTGAGAATAGATGTTATTAAATAGTTGCACTAATCAGAAGAGTATTGGATATTATTGATTATGATATATAGACTGACATAAACTACATAATTAAAAAGTGTATATCACTGGGAAGGAGATATAAACTTATCGTGTGTTGCTATTTTTTAAATCAATTTTTAAATGTAATACCGGTATGAGAAACTAGTTAATTCAAGTATATGGGTATAAACAGTTCCAGATTAAACGTAACATTTTTAAAATATAACTTCAACAGTACTTATACTTTTATTACTTTCATCATTTTCAATATTTTAATTTTTTTTCTCTTATTATTTATTGCGAAAATGACGTGCACGCACAAACATACATGGTAGCTACGCCACTGAAAGTGTTGAAGTTTATGGAGGGGGGGGGGGTCAAAATCGAATGGAGGTGAAACGTAGGATTGTACAAACAAAAAATAGCAATAAAAATAAAATGTTAAAGTGTAAGTGGTATTCTTAGAAAATTGTTAAATGATGAAGATTTTTGTTTACTAAGATGACAGTTTGTGTCGTGATCCGCCACCTGGACACATCCTGTATCGGAACAACTGCCAAACATGTACCTGTTTAAGTATATATCTTCCTTGCGGTTGACATTAAGTAATATTAAAACAGATGTTCATGTCAGTGTCCGCATGTGCAGTATATGCATTTAAGTACAGTCGGAGCGCAGGCCCCGCCCACTGACGAAAGTACACCAGACAGGCATCTGTCTTATTTAGCGCAGACAGGAAAATGTTAAAACTTGCCCACAAAATATATCCCTCTATTAATCAGATCTAAAGGTATTTTCCTCCTTTCTCGTGCTGTATAGACGTAGCTAGTATAATACATCGCTGTGTGATGATTAGCGATTGATTAAGATATATTGAGATTGATTGACGCGTCTTTCATTGGTCCGATTACAACCGGCGAGTTTCCCTCGAGGCAGACAGCCGAGTGATTAGACGTTAAATATGTGGACAATGAAACGTGTACACGTCAAGAAAAAAATAATATGCCGAGAATTTTTGTAGACCAGAAAAAATGAAACTGTCCCTGTTTTGTTAGCATAGTCCTACAGCGGTCTAGAGAAACTGACTGTGTTTATTTTTTTATTTCCTCAGGTGTGCTAAAAAAAGTATACCACACCTGTCTGGTGGAATTTGTGAGGCCCAGGACGGGAGACGGAAACTTTTATATCACCGATGGATCCATCGGTGGTGGAGAGTCTTCAGGCTCTGGAGCGGACGGCGGCTTGGGTGAACCAAGTGGCCCAGATGCGACAAATGGTAAGCATGCGCATACTACAGGCACTGAGCAGTCCCAATAATTGACACGTTTTTTTTTTTTATTTTCAGCCTACCTTACCTGATTACATAGTAATCAGTCAGATTGCAGTACAAATTCATGAATAATACGTTGTTTTTCTTCTTTTTTGTTTTGTTTTTTTTTCTTTGATATTGCTTATTTTTATACTGTATCAAACTTTGAGTAAAATGATTTCATAGTGACACGAAAAATTTAAGAATTAAGAAATCTTGTTCATTTATTCACTTAAGTAGACAGGATACATACTCTGATCCCTGGTACACATCTTATCCATAGATTTTAGTCTGCTATCTAATTTTTGAAAGAAGTAATTGAATATGAAAACAATAGTTTTCATTATGTTGTAATGCATATGATACCATGTATTAGTAATGATTATGATTTTTTAATATAGTATATAGTGTCATTTCCCTTGTAGCATGTATTAGTCAGACAAACAAACATCCTCTAAGGAATGTGTTGTCAACACCCCAGTGTAGGATCTACTAGGGAATTAAGATCATTTTAATTCTGCAAAAATAACATAAATAAAGCTGAAATCTTTTGAGGTACATGTATGAATTGTATAATCTTCTTGAAAATGTGATATTTAATAGATATAATTCATCATTATGTAGAACTAAAAGGTACTCTTTAAATATGCATATGTTATGAATTTTTATGTGGTACCCCCATTCAAACACACACACACCCTTTCCCATTGCATAATTTACCAACCAAACATGTGATCTTGACTTGAGAAGGTAAAATAAGTTTAGTTTATAAAGATATGTAGAATAGCATGCCATGCATTAATCAAATTGATTGATGTAGATTGGATGTTTTTCAGGTATCTACATGAAGTAAAGGGCCTTGTTTTGCCACATTATTACTTTTTTCTCTTTTTTCATTTTGAATTTGAATTGCTTGTGCAAAAGTACACGTCAGTATATTATCACGAGTCAGACATGAAAACGTGTACATGTAACAGAAGAGATGAAAAAAGTAATGTGTATGATTTTTTTTCTTTTCCATGCTACATATTTATTTTTCTATTGCATGTGAAGTCGATTTCAAAACAGTGTTCACTTCAATCAACATAAACAATGCACATCTGATTTTCTTTGCAGACTAACTTCCAGGATATGAAAGAGGACTCCACAGGGGACAGTAATCCGGACAGAGATGCCTGCAGTGACAAGGATTATGATGATATTCCGGACAGTTACGAGGGCTTCCAGACAATGGAACCATTTGGATCAAGCGATTCTAGTCGTCAAGCTGATGCTGGCTCGTCTAGTACAATGGTAAGAGTTCAATAAAGATGTATTGAAAACTTTTTAATGTAAAGATTTGATCTGTGAGGATGACCAACTTTGATGCAGGCCTGAAATAAATACATGTATCAGATTCCAATCATCATTAGAAAAACTAAATTATTTAATTATTTTAAGAATTCAGTCAAAAATTTTGATACAGTGAGATCAAAAAAATAAATCAATTTTTGATAATTTGTAAGGATTTTGTGGACATTCCTGCCACAGTCCAGGAATTCAAGGCATCCCTGGAGAGTTCCGGAATCTCCCAGAGGTTTGCAGCCAAGTTCATCATGGAGTCCACCAGTCAGGGAAACCTGAGCTTCCTCCTAGAGAAGGGCAAATCTAAACACTGGTCAGAACTTAGTGGGAGGGGGCGTCTACCTTATATACGCATGAGGAGGTGGTTAGACAGCCCAGAGGAACAGAGGATTACTCTGAATCAACTTAGCATGACTAAAGGTAGGATGAGTTCACAGGGTCAGCTTAGCATGACAAAAGGTAGGACAAGTTCACAATTAGTCTTCCTCATTTAATTCTGGGTCAGCTTAGCATGATTAAAGGTAGAATGATGTCACATGTAGTCTTCCTCATTTTATTCTAGATCATGAAGGCAGGCAAACATTTTCACACCTAGGTATCTCAGACCTTGAAAAAAACTTAACATATTTGACATTTCAAGATATTGATGTAAATGAGATTTTAGGCTTACCAACATATATCCTTGATATTCAAAAATTTATAGTGTTGAATGAGTTACCAAAGTTCAACTATACTGAAAGTTTCTGGTAATTGTTCATCTGCTAGCATATCATATATAAATTTTTATGCCACTTAAATTATCTTATTTTAAACTTTTTTCAGAGTTCAAGAAAACAGGTCCAAAGGATGGGAGTGGAAGAAGAGGGAAATTTACCCTGTTCCAACTGATGGTGCTCTGTCGATTCTTCGAGGAGGATCAAAACCCTTCCCTCAACACACGAATGCTTCTGGCTGAGAAACTCCTCGTGTCCTTAGAACGCATCACAATATGGTTTCAAAACCAACGAGCTCGCGGATTTCCCGCTAAGCGTGTGCTTTGTCTGATGAGTGTCGATCGACAGAATGCCGAGAGTGAGAAAGCCGAATTTGGACGGAAATATAAGAACATTCAAGACGACATCCAGAAGCGGACCCAGGCCTTAACTGGTGCTCTACAAACAATGGGTGGACAAAGTCCTGATATTCCAAACTCTGTGAATAGAATCAATGATGCATTAAACACAAGTTCAGTAAATGGAATGACAGAACATCCACAAAGTATTCCTGGACCTGTAAGCAACAAGGATTTATTAGGTCCTGGGTCTATACGATCCCTGCCAGCCTCTTTACCTATGAATCAGAGATTCAAACCCTATGACATGCCTCCAGGGTGGAGAGGTGGTGAAAGATACAGTAATTTCACAAATTATCTGCTGCATCAGTCCTCTAGTTCAGTAAATAGCAATGTACACATTGCTGATCCATATCAGCAGAGTCCATCAAATGCCAGCATAAAGAAGGAGATTGGAGAGATGGGAAACTCTATGTCCTCAGGAACATGTTCCTCGGAGAAAGAAATGATCAATTCAGACCCCAGGCCAACATTTCTTGTGCAGAATATGGTCAATTCTACTGTTTTCAGTAGGCCAAGTACACAGGGTGCATATCCTTTACAGAAAAATGGAGTAAATAACACAGTTGAGAAAAAAGATACACAGATTCCATCTTCAGCTGTTCAGAAAATGTCTGAAATGGTGGAAACGGCTTCTGACTATAGTAAACACAGAGGTGGAAATTCCAATTTCTTGAATTGCCAGAATAAGTCTGATGAACTAGAATCTTTGAAGTGGAGTGTTAAAGTGGAGCCAGGATCCGAGGTGACAGATGACAGCCTGGCCATGTCCTCCAAATACAAGGCCTCCACACTGCAACAAGGTGGCACTAACCTCATTCTAGGAGGAAGTGATGTCACTGATCATGTGATGGACTTGGTATATGTCAAGACTGAAAATGTCGAGAATGGTGATGTGAGGGACATGGGCAGTACCCCAGTCAAGACCAATCAGCTGGGGTGCCCAGGGGGAAATGTAATCTGTGGATTGACACAATAAAACATGTTATGTGTAAGCCCAGCTGATGCTTAATGGTGTTTGACCTGCTATAGTAATTTAAAAGGAAGTTGAGAACTGGGAAAATTATAGTGAAAAGAGAGAGTGATTTTGTGTTGTTTTGATAGACGTTCAAATTATTTATGAAAAAGCATAGATTTTAGAGACCATTAAGTTTTTGAAAGTCTTTTTTTTTAAATGTACATACATGTATGTACATGATATGTTTATGGATGTTATTTTTTAGCAGATAAACTAGCATATGAAGTTCTGTCACTGTTTGATACATATTTCTGAAAAACCATTTCATGCTATCTGCATCGTAAAATGTTTCCATAGAAAATAAAATAAAAGAATTAAAACATGAATAAAATTATCCAGAAATATGAATTTTTCCCACTTTGCTACATGATGATAATTTTGGATACATTTTTAGAATAAATTGACACATGTACATGCAACATTATTGGGGATGAAATTTATGTGCATATATTACTGGAACTGAAAATACAAATACTTTTTGAACCATCTATCATCCTTTTTTAATTTAAATGTTTTTGCAGTCATTTATATCCATTTTTCGTATATACTATCTACTACAAATCTGAATGTTGTTGACAATTAAGATTGAACGTCAGGGTCTAGGTGGAAAAGATGAAATGAAATGCAGGTTCTTTAACATGTGAAAAAATTGTGCACAGCTGTTTGTATTTTTACAATGTGATTAATATAATTTTCCATGTATCTGGGTTTTTTTTTTTTTGTTTTGTTATGTTTTGTACAGTATAAGGCATAATTACTAATTTGTTGTGTGTAATTGTGCTGAAATAATATGTATTTATTTTGAATTATAAATATGTATATATAATGGTTGTGTAACTTATTGTGAGTGTCAATTTCACAGGTCTTCATTCAAGTTTGACTTATCTTTGAGCTTACAAAGATTATTGGGGAATAAGTGTATAAAAATGCTTATATAAATTGATTTTTAATTTTTTACAGTCTTGTATGCAATCTTTTTTTTCCTCCATATACCATGGTAGTTTAAAATTATGTGAAACAACTTTTCTGTGAAAAAAAAAATAATATGCAGAAATCATTCATTTGGTTAAAAATAATGTAAAATACACTAGTAGTTTGTGTGCTAAGATTTTTTTCTCAGCTTATTTGCCAATCTTCTTTATATAACATGTACACACTAGTCAAAATTCCCAACTTACAATAACACTTTTTGGAGGGGTTTTCCCACTTTGTTTTATTAAATATACTTTAACTTTCACCACACAGGCTGTTTCAGATTTGTGGGCATTAAAACAGTCATTTAATTAAATGTTGTCCATGCACATGAGCTAAAACTAAATAAAAAAACGGGGGGGGGGGGGGGGGGGGGGGGGGGGTCCAATTCAAACAAATAACCAGTTCACATTTGAGAACAAATTGTTTTTCTACTGGCCAGACATCTTTACATGAACACCATGAAATTTTTTTTGCTTCTGCAATGATTTGTGGGATTATAGTATTTTTCACTTTTTTAAAATGGGAGAAGTACAAAGTGGCAAGTTAGGAAATTTGACAAGCATACTTTAATTTTATTACCTTAGCTCACAAAGTTAAAACTTTTCAGGGCTATTTCTGACAAACAATTATTATCATTTTTTATTTATCAAAATATTTTTTGTGTGAAAAATAATGATAAATCAATGTGGGTTAGATAGGGAAGAAAAAAAAACAGTGCAACCCAAAATGTGTTATAACTACAGTACATGTAGTAAGAAAATCAGAAGATTGATTATCACAACCTTACTATTAAATATTCACTGATTGAGAGTTGTGCCTTGATTTCAATTTTATATGAATTCTATACTTCACAGCACAGAATTTTTGTAGTCTTGTACAAATAATGGATCCTAAACATTTTAAAGAAATATGCATAGATTTCAAATATGCCTGGATGTGCTGGCATTTTCAAGAAAAATCACTTTTTGGGAGGAGATTCTATGAAGGATCTGTTGTAAATTTTTAATTCTATTTATAGATGTGAAAACCACCTAATATATACACCACATTTTTGTTTTCCATTTCTTTTGGGCATGCAGGATTATTTTTCAAAATAATTTTTGCTGATATTAAGTCAATGTTTTTTGTTGTCTTTAATTTGTTTACAAGGTGCATGAATAAAGTGCTCTAATTTTGTTCAAGACTTGACAGCATAAAATCTATGTAATGTTATGGCCAGTGTCTGCAAATTCTACTATGAACACAACCTGATTATATTCATATGTACTGAGGGACCAAAAAATATTTCTAGCAGATGGTCTTCAAGTTGTCTAAGGCATAACTTTATAGGAAAAAAATTACTTGTTAATTTTATTCATGTCAAACTTTTTGATAGTCATGAACTTAAGAAAAAGTAAATATTTTATGTCATACATGTGTAGTTTGTCAAATATACATTGCATAAGAACATTTGTAACTTTTGCATGAATTCAAACACCTGCAGATTGATGCCATAGGGGAAATGATCAAATTGGACTCCTGTAAATTTAAACCCTTATTCATTAAATTTGGTATGAATGGATTTTTAATAGTTTTTAATTGAAAAAAGAATAGTCTTATGTCTGTATACATTCATTATGCATCAAGATTCATAATAGTCTTTCATTTACTGTACACCAACGTTTATTTGCATGAGGAAAATATCTTTGAGTTTTGCCAATTTTTTTTTCACTTTCGTCAGTATTTCTATCATACTACTTATTTCAATATGTGATTCTATAGAACATTTCCTCAGTCGTGAAAATTAGTCATTGCAGATAGATTTCAAGCTGATATATCCAGAATAAAACTTGCTGCAAATAATAGTTGGTTTATGGTAATTTTCAACATTTAGTGAAAGCTAGAAGAATCATGAACTCTGAAGTAAATTGACTAAAAATAGCGGTTTCTAGAACTTTTTTGCACATTTTTATTAAATTTAGAAAAATGCTGAACATTGATTAAGTTAACAGATTATGTGATAACTTTTTTTTATTTATAAACTTTGCATACGATACCCTTATTGTGAAGAATTTATCTTGTATGTGTACCTACATGTAGAAAAGACCCTGCAGAATGAGAACTTGGAAGCTCCAATAGTGTGCAAACAACTCTGATGTGCTACAGGGACTTTTCTTTGCTGCTGGTCTACAGTTTTTATGCCAGTTTTGTTTTGTAGATTTGTCTGATTATTCTTATGATTCTATTAAATAAAATTAATGAAATCAAGAATAGCGATTAAGACTCTTGTTTTCACTTTGTAGTCTGTATGACTATCAGCTACTAAGCTTGGTTATGGTCTCAAAATCAGCATAGTCGGTAAACTTGTTTTCTCCAGACACCAATTGTTCAATAGAAATTTGTCAAATTAGACAAAATTCCATATTGGACAATATTTTAAATAGAAAAAAAAAAATGAAAGGGATTAAAAGTTCCTATCAAAACAAGGGGGAGGGGATTCCTTGACAAGAAGAAAAAAGGTCATCGTTCAGATATTTTAAGGGAACACAAGCATAAAGAACATATGTTTTCTATAGTATACTATATATCAACAAAATTATATGGGGGAGTGGCTACCATAATCCGAATAAGACAAGTTTAACAAGTCTGATGTCGGAACAAATTTTCATTCTGAGGTACAAAGGAGACTTGCACACTGACCAATCGGCTCAATGAGTTGAAATGCATTATGGGTTACTACAAGAATACTGAAATTTTATGCTAATTTTTCTACTTCTGGGAAGCACATCATATTTTTTTCCATGCATTTTCACTGGTTAAAAATACATGCATGTACATTTAATATTATCTACTATTTCAATGCCAAAATATAAAGGTAGAATTCTAGTTTTCTTCATTCTGTTGTCTAAGGTGACTTAAGGACAATTATTACATTGCTTATTAGCTCTTCTGAGTTTATACTAAAACTAGGGTTGTGACCCTTAAACAAGGGGAGATAATTCGGAAAATAGAAACAAAAGTACTGGTTGCTAAAAATTCTTCTCAAGAACCTCTGGGCAGATTATCACCAAACTCAAACAAAAGGATGAGGGCATGTTGTAGATTAAAAATTGTACAAGGCATCACCCTGGGGCAAAGGGCGTGGTCTCAAGGTCACTTCAAAGTTGACCAAAAATTACATTTTATTAAAATGTTGATATTTTGCTTACTATAAGAACTAGGATCATCAAATCTTGTCAGTTGATGCATCTAAGGACCTCATATCATGTCGACTCAAAAGTAGGTCACGGTGACCTACTTTTTAAATTTTGCGGCCATTCTTTTTCAAAATGATTAAGAGGCATATTTTGAACAATTTAAGGCCTATGATCATCAAACTTTGTCAATTGATGTATCTTGGGTCCTCAGAGTATTTCAACTAAAAAGTAGGTCACCTTGACCTACTTTTTGAATTTTATGGCTAATCTCTTTCAAAACAATTACAGTCATTAATTCGAATACTGAGAGGTTTAGAGCATTAAATCTTGCACAATGATGCATCTTTGGGCCATAAAATGTATTTATTAAAAAGTAGGTCACAGTGACCTACTTTTTGAACTTTGTTTTTGTAAGTTTGCAGGCCTTCGATTTCAAAGCATTTTTGAGGCATAATTTGGACATTTTAAGGCCTACGATCATAAAACTTTGTAAGTGTATGCATCTTGGGTCCTCCAAAAATGTCAACTGAAAAGTAGATCATCATTACCTACTTTTGAAATTTTATGGCTATATTTAAATATTTAGGGTATGATTTGGCTTAGAATCATCAAAATTTGTCAGTTGATGTATCTTTGGTCCTCAGAGTAGGTCCTGAAAAGTAGGTCACCTTGACCTACTTTACAATTTATATGACTATAATTAAATATATCGGGTACTAATTGGCTTAGAATCATCAAATTTTGTAAGTTGATGCATCTTGGGTCTTCGGAGTAGGCCGACTGAAAAGTAGGTCACGGTGACCTACTTTTGAAAATTTATGTCTTTAATTAAATACTTCAGGTTCTAATTGGCCTAGCATCATCAAGCTTTGTCAGTTGATGTATCTTGGGTCTACAGAGTAGGTCGACTGAAAAGTAGGTCACGGTGACCTACTTTTGAAAATTTATGGCTTTAATTAAATATTTCAGGTTCTAATTGGCTTAAAATCATCAAACTTTGTCAGTTGATGTATCTTGGGTCTACGGAGTAGGTCGACTGAAAAGTAGGTCACAGTGACCTATTTTTGAAAATTTATGGCTTTAATTAAATATTTCAGGTTCTAATTGGCTTAAAATCATCAAACTTTGTCAGTTGATGTATCTTAAGTCCTTGGTGTAGGTTGACTGATCAGTAGGTCACCCTGACCTACTTTCATTTTAAATGACTATAATTAAATATATTGGGTACTAATTGGCTTAGAATCCTCAAACTTTGTCAGTTGATGCATCTTGGGTCTATGGAGTAGGTTGACTGAAAAGTAGGTCATGGTGACCTACTTTTGAAAATTTGTCTTTAATTAAAATATTTCAGGTTCTAATTGGCTTAGAATCATCAAACCTTGTCAGTTGATGCATCTTGGGTCTTCAGAGTACAACAACGGAAAAGTAGGTCACCGCCTTCTTTTGAAAATTTATGGCTTTAATTAAATATTTCAGGTACTAATTGGCTTAGAATCATCAAACTTTGTCAGTTGATGCATCTTGGGTCCTCGGAGTATGACAACTAAAAATTAGGTCACCATGATCTACTTTGAAATTTTATAACTATATTTAATATTTTTGGGTACTATTTGGTTTAGAATCATCAAACTTTGTCAATTGATGCATCTTGGGTCCTCGGAGTACATCTACTGAAAAGTAGGTCACTGTGACCTACTTTTCAATTTATATGGCTTTAATGAAATATTTCGGGTACTAATTAGCTTAGAATTACCAGACTTTGTCAGTTGGTGCATCTTGGGTGCTCAAAGTATGTCATCTGAAAAGTAGCTCACTGTGACCTACTTTGAAATTTTATGGTTAGAGTTTTTAAATATTTTTGGGATTAGTTGGCTTAGAATCATCAAACTTAGTTGATGCATCTTGGGTCCTCAGAGAACAAGTGATAAATAGGTCACCATGACCTACTCTCATGTACTAATTGGCTTAGAATAATCTTGGGTTCTCAGAGTGTTTCATCTTAAATGTAGGTCATGATGACCTACCTTTGAAATTTCAAGGCTAAATATAAAGGATACTTAGAGGCTTCAAATAGAAGTGACAGGTTGTAGAGTTTATCAGAAGAGCGATTCAAGGCCCTTGGGCCTCTTGTATTCCCATTTTGTAGTATCGGTGAATACAAATTTCGTGTGGATTCCCTGGACCAAGGTTAACTCTAATGAATAGCACCTCAGTGGCCTGGTTTTCTCTCCACTGGTAACTTCATCAAACTGGACAGTCAGTAAACAAACTAGAAATGATCATACACATAATGACCGAGTTTCATAATTATCCAAAATATGAAGAAGTACAATATGTATTTAAAAATAACTAGGTCATGGGGAATGCTGCTCATATCTGACTTGCTTAATTGAAAAGCAATCAAACCTAACAATATCATTTTGATTTAACACTGCTTTAACACTGAAAACTTCCTCAGACTTTGCTTAGTTAAACAGAATAACTCAATTTTAATGATATTAACCATTTATTTAAAAAATACATTTTCATAGTGCTTTCCAAAATGAAGTAATTACATGTATGGAAATAAAAAATGAAACTTTAAAAAGTATTTTGCATGATTTTGTATATCAATAAAATAACACATGCAATCAAACCCTAGACTTACCAAAAATAGTATTTTTTGCACATTAAATTGGCAGGTTAACCTTAAAAAATTATAATCTGGAAAAATGACATACAAAAAGATGTCTTAATTTTTTTCTGAAATCCTTCTGCCAAATTTTTGTCACACAGTAAAATTCAGTACATGTATTAGTGTATAATTTTAAAAGCACTTTCAATAGAACAATTCTCATAAAAAGATATATGCTGTATAAATTTGCATAATATCTAGTAGGTCTGATTTTCTGGCGGTGGCTTTGGTAGATCTTCTCTAGGGGGTGGGGGAGGGGGTACATCTTCTGGGGGTGTTGCATTATACCCCCATTGGTACCCCTCAGGAACTGAAGGCTGGTACTGCCCTCCATAAAATGAATATCCCTGATACTGTGTCGTGGAAACTGTTCCAGGATATAGTGTTGTGGGAATTGTTTCTGGATACGGTGTTGTGGAAACTATTCCTGGATACTGTGTTGTGGCAAGTGTCCCAGCATACTGTGTTGTGGGAATTGTTTCTGGATACTGTGTTGTGGAAACTGTTCCCGGATACTGTGTTGTGGCGAGTGTCCCTTTATACTGTGTGGTGGAAACTGTTCCCGGATACTGTGTTGTGGCAAGTGTCCTTGGATACTGAGTTGTGGGAATTGTTCCTTTATACTGCTTTGTCACAACTGGATTAGTAGGATAATTGGTATCCATGGGATTCATGTGCTTCAGGAGTGGATCCAGAACAGGTGGAACTCCTGTAGGTGCATTGCTTGTATATGCCACATTTGAAGTCATGCCACTGACTCCTGGAATTGATAATGAGGCACCCTGGGGATAGGATGCAGATGCTGAGGATACAACAGGGATGGTTGGAGCTGCCTGGGGTAACGTCCTGCTTGATGATTTAGATGAACTTGATTTTGAAGAAATGTGTGATTTTTTTGATTCTGCACTACTTGTTTGCACTGGATTTGTTTGTCCAGCACCACTAGTAAGGCTAGAGGTTAACTACAAATAAACAAGTCAATGTTCAAAGTTTTCCAAGTATTTACTTATATGTAACAATGCAGAAAACAAACTTAAAGAAATGTCAAAGAATGCATCATCTATCAGCCTTAAAATTGAATTTTTCTGCTTAATACAGCAAACATGTTATATAAATGAATAATTCCAAGCATTAGTATTGCAAGTTTTTCAAGGTAATTGAAAATCATAGTCCTGTATTTATAACGATAAATGATTAATAGAATGAGGCTGAGGACAAAATATCATTAATTTGATTCCTGATACAACAGAACATACCTTTTTAAATACTTGTTTGCACAGACCATCATGTATTTCTAACTTCTATAGAAAAAATCATTTGGTCTGTACTGTAGCACATCATACTTTGATAACACTTTTTACTCTACACTGAAGTGCATGTTTAAGTTACCTCTTTTGAGTATAATTTTTTATTTGTCATATTTTTTTTTTACCTCGTTGGGAAGTTCAACATTTTTGAGCCTGTATTGTAGTAAAGCCTGCGTCAGAGCGTTAGACACCTGTAGGGCCATAGCGGCATCCTCCTCTGTTTTAATCATGGTCTGGGACTAAAACGATCCAAATGACATTAATTATATATGAATTCATCTATATTCTTGTGATTTAAACTCTTTTAAAGGAAAGACTTCTTAATCAGGTAAAAATAAGTGGACATAACAGTGTGCATCTAAATCTCATCTAAAATGAATGATTTAATTTCCAAAAGAAAAACAAAAATTAATCATACGAGGGTTGTCCAAAAAGTTCGTGGACAATGGCGTTTTTGTCAAAATGAATGGTTCAAGATATGCTTATTGCATACCAAAATATTAGTTATGAAAATCCAAGTCAGAATAATTTGGTTTTTATTGTTTGAACTTAATATTTTTGTAAAAATCTCGGTCATTAAAGGTCGCCGACAGTGCGCACGGACCAGGGTTAAAATGCCATGAACTTTTAAATAAAGTGGTTTGATTGAAATGCTTATTTCTTTTTAAAATGAGTCAAAGCTGAAAAAAAAAATTTGATATATAACAAATAAAGCGGTTATCGCCATTTTCTGATACCTTTAGCATCGCTTACTAAATAGACAATGAAAATATTATAAGTGAAAACCGCAAGAAGTATGTTTCAAAAATTGACAGAAAAAGCGACGTCGGCCATCCGAACGGGACAGCGTCCAATCATACAATTATGGTTAATATGGTTGAAACGTCGTCAAAAACAAAATATTTATTCAAACAACTTAAATTTATTGGAAAATATTTAGTCTAGTCATTTGTAATTGGTGTATACGATTTTTCAACTGTGTGTAAAATTTCGGAGACACTACAAGAAGTGGAAATCCTCTGTTATTTGGTGAAAATAGGATATGTTCCTATTCATGACGATGTTATGAATATAGCGCCGTCAGGCTGGGCTGTGCACCCTGTGTTTACGAAGTGTTAATATTGATGACGCTCGTAAATTATTGTGTATTGTTTTGAATTTTTAATTTAAATTAATTATAATCTATACATAAATATTATTGCACACATTTGGCAATGTGGCATAATAAAGAAAAATAGCGTGCATCTATGAACATGCGATAAAAATCCAATTCATATTTCTGACGTTATCATGAAATAAGCGTTACGTCAGACTGGCCAGTGCGACTTGCACATACAAAGTATTTACACCTATAATGTTCAGTAAATAGTGTGCATTGTTTTAATTTTTTGTATATTTACTCATTCATGGTCTATATTAAGATATTATCGTACATGTTTGCCATTGGGGGCTTGATAAAGAAATTTAAGCATTTGTCCACGAACTTTTTGGACAATCCTCGTATATTCACCCAAGCATTTACTAAGATATATAAAATGAACTTAAATATGGTAAAGTACCCTATGTAATTGATTCAGTGAGATATAACATTAATTTAAAATAATTTGTTGAGGAAGAAAAATCAGCTCCATTACTTTTAAGGTATGGAGAGGTACTTGTCAATGAACATTAACCATACAAAATGTTAAGCAGACTTACAAGAGCAAACATCATGTCGGCCGCTGAGCTTCCTGAAGCATCTGAGGCACTAGCTTGATCAGGTGCTTTCTGCAATTAAAACATTTCTTATTTTACTAATTCAAAAATTATCAAATTTTTACAAATTTTAAATTCAATTTTTTTTTTTTTATTGTAGTACAAGCCTTCAGCAGTTCTTATAAATTCTGATGGAAGCAATTGATTATTTTCCAGAAAACCATGATGATAAATTATCAAACATGTTTATGCCCTGTATATTCGATATACAACACAGAATGAAACTGAAAAAAATCTGAAATTCATTGATGCAACAATATTTAATGCCAATATTCAGTACATCTACCCAGATGTGCATGGTTCTGAAACTTGTCAAAAAATCTACAGAAAATGGATCAAAACCGGACTAGCAATAGATTTACAGGACATTGTAAAATTTTCATTAAGTACATGTACAGTACATGTATGTTAAATTATCCTAAAGAATGATTATTTACTTTTTTCCTTTCTTTCTGGAAAAAGTCATTAAATTGCATTAAAAACTCACATCAGCATTTGATTTCAAGTCACCTAATACAAAATTTTTATTTTTGATCTTCTTGGTCGAAATATTTTTTTTTTTCTTTCATACATGTACAACCATGACTAGTCTGAACTTCTGATCAGAATGCTTCAAGTTCCATAACCATAAGTTGATAATGTATAATGTATTCTTATCATTTAGACAGTACCTTTTCTGTCATTTGTTGAACTGAAGATGAACCCTCCCCTGAAAAAAAAAAAGAAAAACTTTGATTAGAATATCAATAGAATTGTAAATTCATTATTTTTGTGACTTCTCAAGAGTTTTTCCACTTTCTTGAAAAAAAAGCAACAAAGTCGGCCTACATATATCAACAAATAGATAGGATAAGACCTAAAAGAATTTACCCTGTAATGAGCTTTGACTGTCTTTCCTGAAAATAGAAAATAACACAAATGGATTAAATGTAACCTAGACATATATATATTTAATATATATATATATATATTAAAATAATGACATATACATTTTTTTTAATAACTTCAATGATGAATCTATAGAGGCTGTAGTCAGAAGACTTTATATAATAAAATACATGTACATATATTAGACGTGCATACTCGAAGGTCTACACTTACCATCTAAATTCACTTAATGGAACCATGAAAAATATTTGAGATATCCATGAGTTCAAGATATTAAGATTAAAATACATTAAAAAAAAAGTTTTGAGAATTCTAAATCTCTTCGACATATCCACGGTATTTGAGATATCGAAGTTCAAGATTCGAAGTGGAATTGTTAAAACTGTGCCCAATAAATATGTCCCCTCTAATTGCCTCAAAATAAGAAAATAACAAACTACATTGCAAAAAAAAGTAAAGAATACTGCATAAAGGCACTGTACTTTTTCTGCTGCCTCTTCCATTCCAGGAATTCTCTGAAGAGTTCTTTGTCCTCATCATCTGTATCACCCTGAGGGAGGTTCTGTTGGGGGTCACCAGGGGGGTAACCTGTCTGATGGCCCATGGAGGTTTCTTGGTACGGGTTAAACTGATCCTCCGAACCTGAGTAGCCTCTGCTATTTAAACCCATATTGCAGTAAATGAGCATTTTAACTATAGCTTTTTCAAAGCATGCACTGTCAACCATCCGTAATTCATATACAACTTACATTCATATGAATTTGCAGTGAAACAAAAACTCCAAAAAAACAAAAAAAAAGTGTTGCAGCCACTAGACTTTTTAAAAGTGCAAATGCCAAATGGGAAAGAGGATGATGAAACAAAATGGCAAAATTGCACAAAGGAACGATGGTCGTAACAATGCATAAAATATATTACAGTCAAACTTGTCATAGCGGTCACCTTTATCCAGCTGTCACCTGTCCTATGCGGTCATTTTATTTCCTCCCAATGAATTTTCCTATATAATGTAACTCGATTAAGCGGTCACCTGCGTAATGCGGTCAGCGGTCATCAAATTTCATGTAAAATCGCCCTTTTACCTCGTATATAGCGGCCATTTTGTCCAATCACGTGCCCAGATCTCAAGTCAGGTGACTGCCAATTTTTGTCACTAATATAAATAATTGGTCTTGTGTAGCGAAATCATGGCAAAAATAATTGGCCTTATTAAAACCATTTAAAATATTGGATATTTTATTTGTTTTTTTTTTTTTAAACAAAACTAAACAGGGGTGCTATAGTGACCAAAAACGTTATCAGGAAAACGGACTTACGAGAATCTTAATCTTTTTGAATTGGAATCTGGTTTAAAAAATTCTGAGTGATATTAAAAAACAAGGCCTCCTTATTTATCTATTAATGGATACAATAATTAGGTGTTTCCTAATTATTAGTTCACGTTTGGTATGCCCAACTCCAATAGGTGTAATTGCGTAAACGCATGACAGGTCATTTTTTACACATAGGAAACGTATTACTTGTAGAAACCCTAATTAACTGTTTTGTATATTGAATGTGTCCTGATTATCTCATGATTTTCAACTAGGTAAGACGACCATTAGGATTAGTCATGCTTCATTGCTCACAACACCTGTGAATTTGATATCAATTTGTATTATGCACTGCTTTGATAAACTGAAAATATAATGACTTGTCTTTTATTACGCTTTTTTGTCTTTTATTAAACATACAATTATCAGGACTAACTAAACTTGTTTTTAGAGGCAGTTTAGATAAAAAATACATTATATTTTATTCATGACACAACATGATAATGTAATCTTATAATAAAAGAAAGTTTTGTTGTTGTTTGGAGGGAGGATGATGCAATGTCCTATTAGACTCAATATATTTTTTGTTGGAGTCATCAAATTTATCTTGAACTTAATCTTGAGACTATTTAAATTTAGAAAAAAAAATCTAACTGAGACCATTGATGTCCAAAACACATCTCTCTTTAATTTTCTATGATGTAGTATTTTAAAACACAGAACTTACATAAATTGGAAAAGATTTTTTCTTGAAAAAAGATGAACCTCTTTTCAAAGGTCACCTCTCTATAAAGGTCACTTTTAATGGTTCCCGCAGGTGACTGCTTAATACAGGTTTGACTGTACTATGAACAAATGTTTAATGACTATGTGTGATTTTCGAAAATTTTGTTAATGATACTTATAAATAATGCTGTGTAATATGTGATAGTCAAGTACTCGGGGGATATTTCTTACAAATAGGCAAATGTAGGAAATGGCTGAAAGATGAATTCTAAAATAAGTTTCCAAGAAATTCCACTAGAATAGTGTACTGACCTTTGTGTCACCTTGTGGTTGTAATCAAAAACCTGTTTGGGGCCTACAGTTTCTCCATAGATATCTCTAACATAAAAAATTATTCATATTAATTTTTTTTTTTTCATAACACTTATACTGTATGCGTACTTAAAAAAGTGGGCTTCATATTTTAGCAGCTTTGGCGCAGACAACGATGCATTAATTCATGAATACTGCTAAGAAATCATTTATAAATACAATATTTGGCACGGACATGTATACTGCTAATTCATGATTTCGCCAACAACTCCATACCCAGTGATTGCGCTAAATTTTGAATACGCCAATTTATGTACACGTACAGTATAATAGTCTAATATGCTCTAAATTCAAAATTTCTTTAATGAATATGAAAATGGGCTTTAAATCTCCATGTAATGAGCTCAATAAAATATTTTAAATTCCAAAAATGTATAGTTGTTCCTCTCCTTCTTTGTTTAAATGTAAAGGGGAATCCATTCATTTCTTGTCGTCTTACCTGTTGCCAGGCCCTCTGGGGTGTTTTGATGTGTAGTTGTACTGGGTGTCAGACGCCCTCTTATTGTAGACTCGCTCAGATTGGTCTGGAAATAGAAAATGTTCAGACTTTCAAAATATTACAGTATGGAGAGTTTAACGAAAAAATGATCAAACAAAAAGACTGCATACATGATTTTATTCTAGCAAGGAATTGATCTTTTACAAGCACTTTTCAAAAAGATGGTGTATCTGATATTATCCTAGCATGCAGCAGAATTGTAGAACTTTGGAATTCTGAACACTGTTGATCAATAACTGCAGGTTTCAAGTTTGATGTCTTTTTTAAGGAATGAAGCTTATTTTAACCTACGTTATATGATATAACATAACTTGGGGCAGTTTACGCTTTATAAACCGCGAAGCAGTTTATAAAAAAGCGTAAACTGCCCCAAGTTATGTTATATCGTATAACATAGGTTAAAATAAGCTTTATTCCTTATAATTTAATTTCAGTGCAGACAATAAGACAATTTTTCCTCCAAAAATGGCCTCAAATTGAGCATATTTTAAAAGTAACGTCAAGCGGAGTAATACGTTTTTGACGTAACTCATTGTGACTAGGCAACTTATGTTATATGATAGAAACGAAATCTTTTATCCAATCAAATGACGTGTTACAACTAAAATTAAATTATTGTACAATGTATCATAATACTAGACTAAGTCTCAACTTCAGTATCTCCAAGTATCCATCTTATCAAACCCTATATACTGTTATTAAGGTTTGACTATATATTAAGACAATGTAATATTCATTTCCTTGCTTAATTCTTACAGTCAAATATTTTTTTTTTTTTGTCTAAAGCATAAAAAAATAACCAACAAGCACTTTTTTTCTTCCAAATTTTTCTTTCTAAAATGCATGGATTTGAAAATGCTAAATGCACACCTTCAAAATCAGCAAAAATAGGCAGTGTTTTAATCCATGTAAGTTTTTTTTTTACTGTTTGACCTCAAGATATAAATTTAATATGTATACTTATTTAAATCTCTGAAGTTCAATTTCCAGTAATTTTAGAAGAAACAAGAGGCCCAAGGGCCTTAACGGTCACCTGAGCACAACAATTTTGAGGATTCATAAACTGACAAATGAAGCTTTGTTGCAAAAAAGCATGAAAAATAGTATGATTAAGATCAACTAAATAATTGTTCTAGTATCTATCTATCTGTCCTTCATTTATCACTATTACCATGCAGACTTTTAATAAAATGTCTACAATCTCTCACATTGACCTCACTTGGCCTTTGAATGACATTTAAAAGGTAAGTTATTTTTGTTTCATTTTTATTCATGCATTATTTCCAAGTCTACCTGATCATTTAGACTAAGAAAGTACTTTTTCTATTATACAATAAATGTTCTTGCATAATTCTCTTATTCTATTAACCTTTCAAATACAATACCTACAGTGATTAATTATCAAATGTGAATGGCAAAGGGAAATAACTTCACTTAGTAGAATACAAATTAATAGAGCCCTGACCAGGACCAGAACACTTGACTAAATGGTCCAGATGTTCAAAATTCTGGTAAAAATACCCTTGCTTATTAAAACTTTTTACTCTGAAATTGCCTCCAATATGCCCAGGAGCAGAGATGATCTTCAAAGAAATAATGAATTTTCACTATTTAACACAGCCCTACCTTAACACCAGAACCCATGACCCAGGGTCATGAAATTTACAAATTTGGAAGAGGTACCCTCATCATCATAACTATGCAATTATATGTAGCTGAAGATTTTCAAAGAATTCACCCATTTTCACTGTATTATCAATAGAGCCCCCCCCCCCCCCCCCCCCCCGACACAACAGAACCCCTGGGACCACAAGTTTTAAAAAAATTGTAAAAGCATCCTAAGCTTGCTCATCATAACTATACACTTGTTTCATTGCTTTGTAACCAGGAGTAGAAAAAATATTTTGAAAGAAATTATGAATTTTCACTATATAATCAATAGATCCCCCCCCCCTTTCACCAGAACCTCTGACCCTGGGGACAGGAATTTCACAATTTTGGAAGAGGTATTCTTGCTCACAATAACCATGCATTTCCTTTATTTAAATAATACCTAGGAGCAGAGAAGAAGATTTTCAAAGATTTGATGCATTTTCACTATATAATCAATAGAGCCCCACCCTAACACCAGAACCCTGACCCAGGGGCCATGAAATTCATAATTTTGGAAGAGGCACTCTTGATCAACATAACTTTGTACTTAGTTAGTTTATCTAATACCCAGAAGCAGAGAAGAAGATTTTCAAAGAAATAATGCACTTTCACTATATGTTCTATATAGCCCCACCCTAGCACCAGAACCCCTGACCCTGGGGCCATGAATTTCACAATTTTGGTAGAGGGCCCAATGCTTACTACAATCATGTCAACAGTTTGACTGCTTGGTGTCCAGGAGTAAAAAGAAGAAGATTTTTAAAGATTGCATCAATTTTGGTGGTTTTAGCCCCACCCCTCGGGCCCCCAGGGGGGCAGGGACCATGAAATTCACAAATTTTGTTCCCTTTCACCCATAGATGCTATATACCAAAATTGGTTGAAATTGGTTAAGCGGTTTTGGAGAAGAAGTTGAAAATGTTCAAAAGTTAACGCACTACGGACGACGACGGACGAAAACAGATAGCAATAGGTCACCTGAGTGATGCGGGTGACCTAAAAATAGAGTCTAACATAAAACAATCAATAACTGTATCATGTTCTTGTATGTGTACATAGAAACCTAATCTTCCGGTATTTATCAATCAAGGAAAATTGTGGTTTAATTCTCACCAACTATACATAATGGAAAAAATTTCCCTTGAACTTTTTTTTCTCTTGTTTCGATAAATTACAAAATGTAAGAGGGATTATCTTTCCTTTCCTAACATTAAATGTACCTTGTCTAGGGAGAACAGGGTTGATTCTCTGTTTCTTTTCTGGAATGGGTGTTGGATCTGGCTTGTTTTTCAAATCTACCAAATACACAAAATTCCTCTTTTTTTTAATCATAGCAAATCTATCTAAATATTTATTTAATGGTGTATGGCACAGATAAACCAAAGAAACAATTATAATAAAGATCTACAAATATTTCTACATTTCTTAAGGTATTTGATGTATTTGAAATTTCAGTAAAATTTTAATACATGTACCTAGTCTAATAAATTAGATTTTATATGTTTACAGATCAAAATACAGTGAAAATGTTCATTTGTTGACCAATTTTCAAATGCTATTTCATGTACAACTTCCAAATTTTACTGCACGAATCTGATATATCTAGTTAAATTTACATAAGTTCAACATACTGAAAGATTAATAATCATAAGTGGTTATTTATCCATATAGTCAAGAAAATTTATAAGGGTGCTTACTTTATCATAATCTTTAAAAATAATGTAAGAAAAGATGCATTAGCTGCTACAGTAAGTAAATTATGTTGTATTGTTTCAATTTAGGACAAAGATGCAAACCTGATATGAAAGTCTTCATTTTGATTCCAGACTGACTTAGTAAATTAGCGGCAACAGCCTCCGTGACTGAATCAATCTCCAGTTTGACCCGGATTTTTCCTTGACCATCTTGTTTCATGCAATCGACAGCAAATTCTTCTGCTGATGCGTTCTGTTCAGACTTTTTCTTGGCCGTGTTAGATGTCATATGGTTGTAAATTTCAGGGTGGCATTCTTTCTGCATTGAGATCAAGTTTTATGTGAAGTCACAATGGAACAAAACAATTGAAATATGAAAAAGCAATTTTGACACATGCATACACATAATACATGACTATTGTATAATATTTGCATCTTGTTATTTATTCTTACTCATTATTATTTTTTATTTCCACTCTACAATTTTTCTGATCGATAAATAAAAAAGCATTTTTGCAAGCTTTCAATATTAAAACACATGACATTAAATCACTATTTACAGAAAATTAATGCCATGCTGAACTGTTATCAGTTTAAATCACATACAAAATAGTTCGATCTGTGTCTGAAGCCTGTGACATGGGATAGGACAGTATTCATATCACACTTGGACTCGCACAGGTTACAAACGTAGGTGGGTCGGACCGACGGGTCAGGCTTCCGAAACTCGGTCACAAAATTCAAACCTAGTAAATAACCAAAACATGTAATCAAGTCAAGTATAACTGATAAATTGTATTTGATGTATTACAATCTAGGCTATTTAGTTTAAAGACTAATTTTTAAAAAATTAAGACTTTCAAAATGCAAATTAAGATAAGTTTTAAAATCAATATCCAGGGAAAATGAAAGTTTTCTTAAGAAAATTTGAATTATTTAATGAAAAATCTTTTAATTCTTTACTTAATTGAATACAAGGAAAAATGTCTGGCATCCATCTAATTATTGAAGGAAATATCGACAGAAAAAAGAAATATGGCTGATATAAAGAAAAGTCAAAACCAAATCAACAAGATATAAAATGACATTTAAAGGGAATGAAAATATAATTTCAAAATAGTAAAACAGTTAACATTATATTTATTTCCCTGAGGAAAACAAAGATGGAGGAAGGATAAATAACGGGAAGAAAAGATAGCCCTTAATCAATCAAGATAAAAAAAGAGGTTAATATGGAAGAAGAAATTCCAAAATAGTAAAACTTTTAAAAATATCTTTAACATCTGATGTCTGTGCAATCTTAAAATCAGAATAGACAACTGACAATTAGGAAAGGGATGGTCCCCAAAGTGATGGTAGAAAAATTGCAGAGTAAGAAAGTTTTCCATTAAGCTGTATTTGGACCTAAAGTCTCATGATGTGTTACATATCATTAGCACAGTGTGACCCCTTAACATCAATGGGCTGGTACTAACTTTACATTGAAATATTAATCTAGCATACATATATGTCACTTTACCAACGCATTTCTTGACCTTCAATCAACATATCATTAGTATAGTGTGTCATTTTACCAACTTTAGGCTAATTCAACCTTCTATCAGGCTTGCAGATCATTGCTGCAGTATTAAAATGTCTTATCAACTTCAGCATGTCACCTTACCGATAACTTACCAACAATAGGCTGATCCGATTTGTTAATGAGGTGGTCCACCTTTGAGGGACGACTGGTACATTCTACCACCATTTTCTTTTTCTCTTCTTCCTTTGCAAGAGCTGTATCTGTGCAAAAAAAAAGTTTCACTTTTTTAATTCAAAAATTATGTTCAGTAGGTTTACCTGCCCCTGTACATTTAAGAACTTCAGAAAATCTATAATTTGAATGATATTGATGATCATTCAACTCTTGAAAGAAATTTGTACATAATCCAGATTTACTTTTTTTTATCCCAAGATGCAAAATGCAACTGCATTGCAAAAGCAAAATTGAAAACTGATATTCTAAACTGATATTTTTTTTGTTTACTTCAGTAAAAGTATTAAACAACTACATGTATACATAGTAATACAACAGAAATGATCATATGAACAAAACAAAAACACAAATATTAACCTATAAATAGATGTAAATTTCTCTCCAACAAAACCAAAATATTTTTTAAACATATCTTTCAATCGGATGCATAGAAGTCTGGAAATGACTGTCTTAGAGAAAAAAACTAGTACAAAATTTTCTTAGACATATACAGGCAAGAAAGTACACTGAAACAAATAAAGAAAAAATGCAGATAAAATACTGCTTCATATTTATTATTTGACAAATTTGTTTATTTGTTATTGTCAATCATTTAAATACTAAAATAATACTGTAGAATGTGTCTCAGTCATTATATTCTTAAAACATTTGAACAGTAAAAAGTTTCTGCTTTCAATAGACAATGAAAATATTTTGAAAAGGAGTTAGAAGCAGGTAATCAGTTGTATATCACTCCTCTCTGAAACACTGCATTTCCATACTTCAACACATCTAACTGTATCACAGGAAATTTTTGTTCCTTTAATGAAACATAATCCCTTTATCTTACCCCCCCCCCCCCCAATACTCAGCACTCACACTCCCATACTGTACCTCTCACAAACACTGTCAATTATCTCACAACCTAGCTTTAACATTTATTCTTTCCTAGATAGAATTATTACTAATTTTAATTGAATACCTATTTGAGGTAACATTAAGTTTTTTTCTAGTTATGTTGAGGTTTATGTCATCAACATATATTTTTCCCTTACAAAAAATGATTTTTAAATGAGATTTTAAAATCTCTCAAATTCATTTTTTGTATTTTTATTCATCCAAAGACATAATTTTAAACAGATGCCATGATATTTCATTTAATGGATTTAAAACATTTCAACTTTCTGAAATGTTTTTCACCTGTCTCTTAAATACTTGAATTCCCAAATGGAAAACCATTTGGGAATAAATATTTGGACTTGCAAAAAAAACGGATACCTTTCTCCAAATATTTATGAAAATATTTGGAATTTTTTTCAAAGGTTACCTGACCTTTGAAAATTGTCCTTTTTTCCCTAATTTTACCATTTCTAAAATCTTTTAGAAATGTATTTCGCTATACTTACCTCCCTTTCCAAGTAGAGTTTTCTGTGAAAGAGAAGAAAAAGATTAATAAATTTAATTTCAGTAAATTTATAATTCCATATAAAGTTTTATCCCCCAACATCAGTGTTGGGCAAGTTAATTATCAATTAATACTCATACAGATTAAGAATTTATTTAATAAAACCAGTTTACCAACATTTTAAACTAAAGACTGCAATGAAAAATTCCTTATCCCATTTCAGAATAGATTGATAAGCAAAAAAGTTTTCCAAAAAGAAAGAAAAAAAAAGATTTTTTTCAAAGCAATAATTAATAAACCTGTTTTTAAATTTATTTTTGAAAAGCTTTCAACTATTACATCTCTTTATATTTATATTTATCATATTTATACATAAAAATAAGGTAAAATAAATAGACCACTGAAAAATTAAGCTACTTGGTAGGAAGTGAGTTATCAAAAAAATCAGGAAACAAATGGTTAACAAAGTTTTGAAGGGTGATCTGAAGTACAAATCTAAAATATTGTAAGCAAAGAAATTTTGTCATTCAATTATTTTTTGACTCTTTATTTCACATATGTATACTTGATATGTACACAATGTACTACTAATTTCATATATTTATGTATACTAGAGATGAAGAAAAAACATGTCATATATTATGTATTAATTCTTTTAAATAAATATAATTATCTTAATTCACACATAATTAACATACATAACTATGAAAAATTAATTTTGCTTTGCAAGTACAGAAACATCATTGCAAGTTATGGGTTTCTGTGTTCTTTTTCTTTCCACAAACCTACACCTGCCTGTTTCAAGATTTGTTTGCATGTTTTCGCCAATAAACTACTGTATATTTATGAAGTGAGGCCAAATTTAACTTGAAAACTGTAAACAGGCATTAGCAATTTTGAGATTGCTTTCATGGCAGGCATCCATGGTGAAATCTTGTTTCATTTGCTTTGTTAGACGGAAATTACCAATTATGAATACTAGATCTTAGGAAACAAAGACAATGTATGAAACATTTATAAACTTAACATCAAAAGATGGGGAATACTTTACAAATTTCATGTAAATAACTTTAAGTGTTTAAAAGTGGAATTCTTAGTTATTGTTACATCCAAACAAAGGATAGACCAATCATTTTTACTGGACAAAGATTTCTGGTGAAAATGTCAGATCATTATTTCATTGGTTGAATTTTCCTCATTAATATTTATGAGATTGAGCAAATTAAACTTTTTTAAGATAATTAATATTCATAGTGAGCATTTTCAAAAGAAAGGTGTGTATTCTTTTCTTTTTGCAGAATGATTCATCGACTGACACCTTTGGTACGGTTATTTTTTTTTAGCACCATACATAGCTTTCAGGCTGAACAACCTTCCATGACAATGTGCCTGCTAGCATAAATCAGCTAATTGCTAGAGACATCACTCGATTATGACTCACTTTCATATACATAAGCAGTATAACCTTGAAAATTATTCCTATTAAGTAATAATTATATACATCCACCAGATATTCCAGATTTATTTTGCTAACATTGCCGATTTGTGAATATTACAATGATTAAATTTCTCTTAAAGTTGCAATCAAATCTTTATTCTCCTTGATTAAAATTTAATCAGGAAAAGATTTGTCTGCTTACACTAATTTAAAGTAGACATTCTTTAGCAGTTTTGTATATAGGTCCAGGAAGTTAGTTGCAATGGAAACATTGCTTTATTTCCTGACCTGTATTTTGCTTTAAAAGTTCCTTGTTGTGAAGTAGGATATGTGAATTTTTTTCTAATTCACATAAAAATACATCTTCTTTGCAAATCCCTTCACAACTTGCTGTGTAACATTTTAAACAAAAAGTCACTTGAAAATGTATGGGATAAGGTGCCTCTTCATTCCTTAAAAATAAAGTAAGTTAAGATCCTTTTGAGGCCCAAGACACACTACTTTTAAGGAATAAATAGGCAAGAGGATTATAATTGTTCCTCTTGGCAATCCTCTATTAATTTACTAATTTTCTCTCTGTGCTCAACAGTTAATAGGTACATGAACATATATATCAATTATTGAGCATATATATGTAATATACTAGCTAATTAGGCATATTACCTCTGAAGATTGAAATGTTAATAAAGAGTTTGTTGTTTTTTCTTCATTATATACCATTTCATTGAGGGGTTTTCTCATTGTGTATTGTTTTTCTTTCTTTCTTCTTGTTTGTTTGTTTGTTTTTGTTTCATTTTGTTTGTTAGTTTGGTTTTTTGGGAGGGGGATAAGTTTTTTTTATTAAATATTTTATTTATTTTGAGAGAGGGGTGCATAGTTTTTTGCATTAAATATTTAATACATTTAATTGTTATTGTACAAAAAGAATTTCCATTCATGTAACACAATGGAGCACTCAGACATTAGAGGGATGTAATAAGCTGATATCCTTAGTACATGTATCAACAAATTTCTCTTGCTGAAATACTTAGATAAGATCATCGTGAAATAATATACAGAGAACCTCCAGGAGAACCTAATTTTAGATCATTTTATAATTTATTAAAATATATATTAAATATTTTGTTAATTGTCTTGAGGGATTAATTTTTATTTCAATACCTATGCGACTGATTACTCTGGTAAACTTTTATGAGTTTTAATCAAACAACATTATTTTACACTACATGACTATATTCTGGACAGAAGAGTCATATAAATCAGCGACAGTTGATCCTTTTATGGGCCAAGAACTATTTTAAAAACATACTGTTACCACTTATGTACCAGTATTTTATGGGTACTAAGTCCAACGCTGGGCACCAAATGTACTGCCCCTAACATTTGGTGGGTGAAAGTAATTGCCCCCCAGAACTTTGCCTACAGGTTCTACCACTCCAAAAAAGATGAGAACATCTCTTTTTTTGGAGGGGGGTTGGGGGGTTGGTATTGTTTGATACATGGCTTCCTACTAGCTTGGGCTAGTGGGTTAACCCTTTAGCTTGATTGGTAGAACACTGGATAAGCATACTAAAGGTCATCGGTTCAATCCATCTTCGCTAGCCAAGGGTTTCTGATCTGCTACTCTCCTCACAACCCTTGGCATACGGTGCTATCAAAAGTTGGGATTGTTTAAGTCACATGATCTCGAATCTTCCCACATATGCATAGATTGCGTCATCGACAAAAATAAAAGGTGTATTTGAAAATTTAAGCTTTTAAAGAACAATTAACAAGAAGGTATCAAGCAATGTTTTTATTTGTTATTTATCGTGCAAATCTACATCTGCAAGAAAGATTCCTGATCACAATATTTGTTCATCAGCTTAAGACTGGATGACACCATATCTATTTACAAAGTGGCTTATTATCTTGTTATTATCGTTGTTTGCTTGTGTTTTTCATTCCCGAGACTAAAGAATCAAGATATATCCCGAAGGCAAATATCAACATAATATACAAAAGCAATTGCTGATTGGTCGAACGATGTCGATCAACTCCAATCACAACTTGAGAAAAAAAACAATTTTAATAGCACCGTATGCCAAGGGTTTGTGAGGAGAGTAGCGGATATGAAACCCTTGGGTAGCGAAGATGAGGTTCAATCAATCTCAAGCAAAGACAAAACTACCACATGTACCACATATAAAATAAGTTTTTGTTGCATGGTTGTATTTATACTGACCACAAAGTTCCACTTAAATTCCTGTGGTAGAACTCTGATGCCTGCACAGGCTTTTTTGAATTAAATTGATTTATCACTGGACCCATTAATGTATGATGGATAACGGTTAAAATTCATTTAGTTATGGGCCCTTGCTATATTTAATCATCCAATCAAGAAACAAAGAACCATGCAACAAGTGGGTTGTTACATAGTTGCTTCTGGCACACAAAGTGCACCCTTTTCAAGCCATGTAGCAACCCTTATTGTAGTTTTTAGTATGACATCATTTGGGTGTTTGAAACAGTTGGTGTCATACAACTACAATATCTGAATGCAGTAGGTTAGAGGATAAGTGTGTGTATTCGACATTCACTAAAATAAAATATTCATTTAGAATGTAATTGAAGTTAACAGTTGGAATCAGCAGCCCAGGGAGCCAAAGACTTTTTTGAGGGTGATTTCAATTGTTAACTTCAGATACAAGCAAAATATATATATTATTCCAAGTAGTACCTGGATTTATAACATTTTTGTTTAGTTCTTTAATTTGTACATTAAAACTGTAATTAATTGGTTATATTATATTGTATTTTTGTCATGTTCGTCTTTTTTTGGTAACTGTCGATTCATATACACATATTAATCTGATACTACACATATTAATTTTATAACTTTATAGTTACATTATGGTTATTACCACAATGGAGATCTGTTTGCAAGTACATTATGTCAATCAAAGCATTGTTTTCATGTGCAGTCAATTGCTGAGATACATTTAAGTGAATTATTTTTAACCCATATTAAGTGGCACTTTTCATTATCAAGTTGGGTGTCCAACAATTTATTTTACAAATTTCTTTTTTCACTGCAGTGAAATGTCAATGTTTAGCAGTTCAATGTTATTTAAAAATCTGATTTCCAATATTCCATTTACTTTAACATAGAAAATATATAAACAGAACATTTACTAAGGTGCAACTATTAAATAAATGTACATGTACATATCAATAAAAACATCATACATATCTGAGTTGAGTTGAGAGTCTTAAATTTACTGCATATTTTTACTATGAATTATTTTAATGTTAATGATAATATATATGTTAAATTTCATCCTGATTGTGATTTTTAAGCATTTATGCACCAGGAAAATTACAAAATGATCATTTTACCATTTCTATGTGAACGAGTCTGCAGTGACATGTTAATTAACTATGAAAACGGTTTAAATATTTACAATTCTACATTTGACTTACATGTTTAAGCATCAAAACACGTAATTCACTGTCTTTTCATAAGATTCTGTAATTTGAATTTTCAACCCTCTTTTAACTTTAGAAACTCTTTCTTGCAAACTCACACAAACATTCATTCACAAAAAACACAATCACATCAACTCTCTAATGAATTGAACTGTTTCAACATTTAAAAAAAAAGACAAATCTTCCTTTGACATTTATATAATATTCAATGATAACCCTGTGCAGATGATAAAAGTTAAGCCTACCATTTTATGCTTGGTTCCCTCCACATGCATCTCAAAATTCTTCTGACTGGTACATTTGACATCACAGTCCTACACAAAATAAGAAAGAAAACTTAGCTTTATGCAAGTATATGTGTACAACATCCAAAAATTTATGACACTGGTAATCATTTTGTTTCTCATGGCAAGCAATAGAACTCAACTTTCTTTCATTTGTGTCTATAAATACTAACATGACATGGGAGTTTTGCAAAGAAAAGTAAAAGTTCAATTGAAAGTGTCTAAAGGAAAATAATTACCCGGTAGTGCTGACAGAAAAGAAAAGATTCCTTGGTGCAATAAAATTGCTGAGTATACATTTAAAGAATTTGAAATCATGAAAATATTGAGTATAATAATACTCCCTCCCCCCCCCCCCCCCCCCCCCAAAAAAAAATGGCTAAATGTGGAATTACACATACTTTCAAAAATTTGTTGAAATCATTAATAATAAACATGATAAATAGCACATGGCCAAAAACTTCTGCACTTCTGCAAAAATTTATTAACAATTTAGAAAAAAAGATTTATGTTACAGTGAAATATTTTCCCCACCTTGCAGTAGAAGTCAGAAGGGAACTTTGGTTTTCCAAGTGTATCAGGGTAGTAGTCTCTCTCCCTCACGGGAATCTTCTCAGGGGGCTTGTCAATGTCCATCCAGTTACTGGAGTAAAAGTTGTACTCCTCTTCCTGTTGGCCCTCTTCTTCATTATTGAAATCTCCATCGTCGTAATCACCAGCCCCCTCATAGTTTTCACCTTGGTCTCCATATTCCTGATATTCCTGATATTGATCGCCCTCTTCATACCCATAATACTCTTCTGCTTCCTCTTCCTTTTTAATCCTTTGACCAAAACCTGACTTATATGTACCATCACTAAAACTCTTACCATGATTATTGTGACCTTGACCCCTCCCTCGCCCTTGAGTCCCTCTGTCATATTGTCCTTGACCTCGGATGTAACCCAACTCGGTCTGACCTCTGTTGGTGTCTTTAGCTGGTGATTGATATCCACCCCTGTTGGATCCTCTCCCTCTACCTCTGTGAGGACTAAATCCTGCTTGTCGGAGATATTTCAGATCTTTCGCTGAAGCTTTGTTTTCCATCATGGTGGTCCCAAAAGATGGTCTAGTCAAAATATTATCTGAAAATAAAGTCACCCAGACATATTCTTGCCGATTTCCTTTAATGTCATTCCATAATTAGAAATCTATATGTAATATTTAAAAATATGGCCTGAAAAAGTTGTTAAACACTAAAGTACAGGCTTGAATGTTGGTCAAGATCATAATGGCTACATACATGTAGCTGTCCTGATCTTCATTGACATGCTAGTATTGCCCCAGTATAGGGGAAGCTCAGAGTAAATGATGTTATGTATCAGACATTCAGAGAAATAAATCATAGAAAGAACAAAAACATGTCCCTTCACCATCTTCTAACTCAGAGGCAGCGTATAACAAAGGAGAAAAGGGTAGGAGACACTATACATGTATATATGAAATAACAATATGCAAATCCTTTTTTTTTGTCAATATTGTACAATTTTCCAAAAAAATAAAAACTTTGTGAAAAATCAAAATTATTCCATTTGTACAATGTATATGTTTAAATGTGATTCTGGTAACTTAATACTGTGCACACCATTACTTTAAATATAACACTACAGCTATTCTATAGACAGACCTTTATTTTCTGGTTCCTTGTCTGGTTCCTGACCCTTCTTTTTGGCATTTTCTGCCTCCATCACCTTTTGAGTGTGTAACAAGCCCCGGGTGTGCTTCCAGTATGCCTGTTGATCAACATATGATAGAACAATTGGATAGAATTTTAAAAAAAAAAAAAAAAAAAAGGGTACATTTTATAATTCATGAATACTGTTGTAATAAAGACACTTGAACGACTAGTGTTTAAGCCCAAAATGTGTCTCTGTAATACTTCTACTGCAAAAATACATACTTGATAATGCTTTCTACCAAAATATCAAAGAAAAGCGGTTTCCATTTCTAAGTGTTAAGATCTAGATATTTCACAATTTAACATTAATATGTTTTAACTTTAACTTTGTTAATTTACAAAATGTATTTGATCCTGCTTTATTTATAATTAAAATACTTACATCATCATTGTCAAATGGCATGTTACAGTACTGACAAAAGCCTGTGTCTTCTTCATCAGATTCCTCCTCCTCTTCCTCCTCCTGCTCTTTTCCCTGTTCTCCCCCCTCAGCTTTATTATCCCCCTGACCTGCATCTGTCTCCTCCTTGTCATCCTGGTAAGTGTTAAAATTTGACCCCTGGTCTTGAAATGAGTCCTGATAAGAAGCTTCCTCTGAATATGAATCTTGATTGGTTGTTTCTTCAAAATATGAGTCCTGATTGGCTGTCTTATCAAAGTATGAATTCTGATTGGATGTTTCATCAGTATTTAAATTTTCATTGGTTGATGCTTCAAAATATGGTTCCTGATTGGCAGTTTCATCATAAGTGGAATCTTGACTTGTTTTTTCATAAATTGCAGATTGATTTGATGTTTGAGCTGAACCAAGCTTCTCTGGTTCCTGTTTTTCAGATGTTATCTCTGTTTCTGCTGACTTCAGTGTGTCTTCATCTGCATGGTTTGCTGAATCTTCTTTTAAACTGCTGTCTATAAAAAATTAAAGAAGACAATTGTCCTTATTTATACATATTCACATTATATGTATAAGACAACTGTACTCTTCTGTTTGTCAGACTTAAAACTCTGACACCCTATTAACGGGAGGTTCCAATCAAGGCACCTGGGCCATGACCTGAACAAAATTAAATCTTAACTACCATGGGGATGTTGAACAATTAACAATTATCCAATCAAAATTAGATCTTCTGATTCACTCATAAAGAATGCAACACAAAGGATAGCAGGTTTTTCCCCAATAGGCAGAGGCTTCATCATACTTTCCAACATCCCACATGTAAAAATAGGGGCATGACCCTCTTTGGAGAGTAAAAAATCTGGTCATTACTATAGTAATAACATTTGCAACATATTCACCATGATTATACTGTTATATATACTTCATATTGCATATACATGTACCATGTATACAGTATCAGTGTGCAAAACTATAACTTTTTAAAGCTATAGACAATTGGTCTACAATAATTTGAAATTCTATAGACCTGGGAAATTTCCTATAGACCCAAAATAATTATACAATTATCTATATTTTTATTTAATTGTATATTTTTCAATGGCTTATTCCTTTCTTCCAACACTGCATTATTTTATGCATTGGCATAAGATACATGGACGTTTATAACCATGATTATAAAGTAATGATTTAAGGGTTTTTTTTTTACACTTTGAACATACACATTAGGGCTGGGACGATACTGAACTTAGCCGATCCGATACATATCACGATACCTTAGGTGCAATACGATACATATCATGATACATTTAAAACCAAATAAAACTAGAATTTTTTTTTAGAACATTTAATTTGAAACATAACAGTGTAGACCGGATGTATTTTCTATAGATTTTGTCTATCAGTCTACAGTTAATTTCGCACACTGCAGTATATACATTAAGCTAGCTTGCGTACATGTATTTAGAATTGTTGTTTTGAAAAGAAGCTTTTTAACTTACAAATGCAAAATTTTAATATTTCATTTGATTAAATAAATTTATGATTATTACTAAATTTACATGATAAAAGGGCATTGAAGGTTTCATTGTTTAGCACTCAACGGAAGTAAGTGTGTATTCTGTTTTTTACTTTTTTTTAAATAATGAAAATTCTTTCAGAATGTGCTTTGCTGTTTGGAAGAATAAGACAAATTTAAGCTAGTTGTGAAAGTATTTAAATCAATTTAAATTATTGAAAAAATTTAAATTTTTTCAATTTAAATCTTGGTTTAGAAGATAATCCCACACCTAATAAACGAGCGCAATTGATTTAAAATGTAGTTAGCCTCATACTATTGTTGATCACTTTACTTTATCCAATGAAAGTTATTTTCAAGATTCTTTAATATGTACATAAATATCATTTTCCTTTGTGTTCCTGCTATCCTTGATAACAATTCTGTTCTATATGAAGCCATTTTATCATATTTATAATGACTTCAATCTTCAATTTGTAAAAACAACTCCCAGATAATTGTTAATAGCTGCACTGATAATTTACCCAACCTACTGTACATAGCCATCAGAATTGTTTATGTAGAACCAAGTGTGGGTAGATAATTAGAAATTACAGGTGCAAACTAATTTATAAACTAAATCCGGAAGTCAGGAGATTTTCTGGTTGTTCAGCAAAAATTGGGTGAAAACTGAAAAGCATGACCCACCATGTCATAAAAAATAAAAAAAGATTCTGAAATGGACTTACCTGTGTTTGCCATATCTGATTCTTTTGTGTCCTTATCAATTTGCTTTGAAGAAACGGAACCTACAAAAATTGAAGAGCTATGCATTCTGATAACAATATCAAAAAGACATTTTCTCTTTAACAGCTCATCAGCAATATTACAGTACAATACACTGTAGGCACAGGTGAAGACTTAGCTGCAAAACTGTACCTTTCTGGGACAGAAAATTCTGTCTGACAGACATAACAGAAAGCTACTGTGCCAACCAATTTAGAAACCACAGGAACTAAACCCATTTTTACCCCCAAATTCTTTGTACCCATCATTAAAGAAAGGGCCTTAAATTGATACAAAATTACACTCATATAAAATGCCCAAAAAATTAAAAAAATTAAATGTTTTTTTCATATTAATGAAAAAGAAAATTTTAAGTCACAGATTCTTAAAATATGTACATCACCATTCTCTCTATTTCACCAGTTTATTTTTACTCAGTCATTTACTTGTACAGGGCTCCCGACTGCTATCACCTCTGATGAAAGTGAAATTCTGACAAGTGGGGAAAATTTCACATCAGTTCATTAAAATTTCACATCAAACACATGCTACTTAGTTAGGCTAGCTGGCATACTTCAAACAACGCTACTTAGTTACGCTGGTATACTCCATTAAAGTTTTCTGAGTACACTATATCAGAGTTGTTGATTCCACAAGCATGGACTACTGATAAGATATATGCCATTTTTTATGATACAAGGCCAAAAGAACAAAGTCCACTTGGGGCCTTTTTTGGCTTTGTGAATTTCTGAAAAATCAAATCTGCTCAGTTTTGGTTGAAAATGTTAAAATTCACTTGGACACTTGGTGATTGCATATCAGTTTAAAATGATATAATTTTCTCTCGAGTACATGTACTATGACATTATGATTTGTGTCATTTTCCTCAAATCCTGAAAAATTCTTTTAAAACAGACAAAAATTTGAGCTGTTTTTCAATATTTTGCATAGTACCCAACCTCTGATCTAAAGACTGAGTTTAATTATATAATGAAATAACTGTTTCGGAGGATTCTTATCCATGAAAAATTTTTCGGATCACGGGATGGGCTCATATTTTATTTATTGGCTGAAGATGCTCAATTTCATCCATTTTGAAAATTCTTCAAATTTCAAGAAAATTGCAATTTCACAAAGCCTATTTAGCAATACCTGAACTCTCAAAGGAAACTTTTTTATGGGAAATGAAAGCACTCTCTCTCTTCTATATTTTAATGTTTAAAATGGGACTTCGTCAGTTAATTGGTATAGGGACAGGGCCATTTTATAGATTTATTGAACCTTAGCTGTTTGATTAGATGGCCGACAATATCCACAATGAAATCAAGTGTAACATAAGGTATTAATGTATGAACATGATGAAAATGGCTGGTCAGCAATGGATGTTATTGTGGAATAAAATTTCTAAAAACTTGAAGTTTGATGCTTAGGTCATTTGACCTCTTTCATTAATTATAGGTACGAAGTTCAAGAGTTTGGGGTCAAAATGGGCTTAGCCCCATTGGTAAAAAAAACTCTGATTTACAGCACCGGTTCTTTGTTGCATCGCAGCATGCTTTGAGAACTATAATATTATAATAACATCTACAATGTGCAACAAAAACTGTCTGAATTTTCTGTCCCAGAGAGTTTCAATCTTGCTGCTTCAGCCTTATGTGAGTACTAACAGTTGGCAAATGGGGTAAAAATTCAACACACTAAAATGAAAGTAGATCTAGTTGATTAATCAATCATTACCGGTATTTTCTGGTTCTCTATAATTTGGCGATACATAATCTTTTCCTGTATCATTTTTTGTTCCCGTCTTGTAATCTGACATCTGACCATGCTGAGGTCGGACTGGAATCATGGGGGTTGCTTTGAACCCACGGAATGGCACTTGTATGTTGCCCCTTGGCGATGGCGTCATAGTCCGGGGTCGAATTGCCCTAGGAGGTTCAAACCTAGCTCGAACTGGTGTGGACAATAAAGGTCTAGGTGGCCGAGTTCTGGGAGGACCAGGACGATTGTATCTAAATCTAGATATCTGCCCTGGGAATCGACCCATTCCTCGATATTCCATTTTGATAATCTGGTCCTCTTTTTCGAAAGAGAACCAAACCTTGGGGCGTGTATAAATTATAAACCAAAACCAAATAATGTTCCGGATACTGAATATGAATATGCATGTATATTTATATTCTTGATAGTACATCGTAAATAATCTGAAACACTGTTTTTGTGCATTCTTTCCATGGGTGATTTATGGGTGATAAATAAATTGTTATATCATTTTTTTCTTCAAATATTATCATGAGTATACAACTGCAATGTGAAAGTCCTAGCACCAACGTTCAAAAGATAAGTCCAAGTTTAAAATTACAAAAGTAGGACACAAGAAGGTCTGACTTCAAGGTCAATAATGTTGGTACCCAAAGAAAGATATTGTCACAGGGAATACACAGGCCCGTAGGAAGCAATTTCAGTTTGGGGGCTGTGCCCTACATTTTTCAGTTGACAGTTGAGGGGGCACTACCAAAAATTTCCTGACAAGCAAAAAAGAAAAAAAAAAGGTCATCAGACGTTTTTATTGAGGGGGCACCAGCATATACTACCTATGTTTATATAGTAATCTATATATCGGCCAAATTTTTTTGGTTCCTACGGCCATGATACACAAGTGAAATATGAAAGCTTTATAAATACATCAACTGTTCATAAGTTAGAGTCAAGCATAAAGTTTTACAAAAGAATGTCAAACTCCAAGTTCAAGGCAATGGGGTAAAAAATATTGAGACACAAACAATGGTCTTGTCGCAAGGAATAAACAAGTGAAACAAATGAAATGTGAAAGCCTTGGTACATATATATACCTTTCTCTAATTGTTAAGAAAGCAATGACCTTCAAAAGCAACCCTTCATGTTAGAACCTAAACAAAGGTCTTGTCACAGGGAATGTACATATGAAATGCTTTGGCACCACCCATTATGGTCATGGTCATGGAAAAAGTTTTATAAAAGTAGGTCAAATTCCAAGGTCAAGAGGTCAGTACTGTTGGTAATGAAATAAAGGCCTTAAATTGTCACAATGAAGGAACACATGTGAAATATGAAACAATCATGCAATTATCAAGCATTCAAAAGTTTATGACCATAGTTAAAGTTTTTGCGGACAAACAGTCAAACAGTAGACAGACGGACGGACAGAGCAAAAACTATATGCCACCGAATCTTCGATTAGGAGGCATAAAAATGTAAGAAAAATGCTCCTTTCCATAATTCATGAGATCTTAAGTCTCTATTCTACTTATGTACATTGACATTTTTATATTTTACTCAAGCATTAAGCTTTAAAGATGTATGTATTGTCATCGTAGTAATACCCCTTACCACAATATATATATACAAATGTCTTATGGGTTTTTTTAATTATGTTTTTAATTTTAAATGTATTGTCATCGTGGTAATACCCCTTACCACAATTATACAAATGTCATACAGTGTATGTATACATGCTTAGACCTTTTTCCTTCTTATGTTTTTAATTGTTCTCTTTGTGCTCATATGGGTTCAAACTTGGACATAATGCATCAAATTAGGGACCGACCATTCAAGAAAAAAAAATCAATAATAAGAATTTAAAAATCTTCACAATAGCGTACAATCTGAGCAAAGTAAGTGTGCCCCCCCCCCACCCCCCTCCGAAAGGGTGTCAGGTGGTTACGTTCCGATTCCGTGTTCGACCCGCGTGGTTACGACCGAAGTGGTTTCGACCTAATCTAATATATATCCCTACATGTCAATACCTGAGTACAGGGGTATACACTGTGCGGTAAACAAATGGATATCCGGTAGCTGTATATTGTATGGCTTCAGAGATGTGTGTGTCAATAGGTAGTTGTTTCCGTATGTGTAGTCAACATGCAGGTTTCCTAACATTTTTTTCTACTATCGCGGAGCATGAATGTTGATAAATTTGATTCAGTAATGAATTATATTTGAACAATTTTCCATAAAAATTAATCAAATACTTCTTCAAATGTACCGTGATCACATATGCACTGTCTGAACAATGTACGTTTCTCCAAATTTAATTACATACGATAATTAACACAAATATACGTGGTCAATATAAAAAAATGTAGACGAAAAAATAAAATGTAAAACTTTTGAAAGTGTTAATTAATTTCGTTCCGAAGCAATTAATTGTTAATTAATTGCTTTGGAACGAAACCACTCGGGTCGAACATGGATTTGTGTCGAAACCACGCAGGTCGAACAAGTCATCGGAACGTAATCGCGTAACCACCCGCATTCCTCCGAAAGCTACTACATTAATTACTATGTGCCTTGCACATATTGCACTTCAGAATTATTTATATCGATATTTAAATCATAAACTAGCTTTGAAGTACATAATTTTTTTGGTTTTGTATTGTTTTTAGATAATCAAGAAAAGTTCATGAAGTTTGTGGTGTACCGATTTATTAATCCTTTGGATCCGCCCATATGTTCGGTGGATAGGTGGAAATAGTGACACGCACCAAATATCAGCCTAATATATATCTTTTCGTTTGCTTAGAACTTAAATCACTACTATATATTAAGAAAAATATTTTGATTTTTTACTCAAATTTTATTTATCTGTTATTTTTTATATTGTACTAGATTCGGTTTGTGTAAATATTTTGTGCGAAACTGGTGTCTTGAGAAAATGAAGATAGACATGGCTGCCCAAGATGGGGAATATTTTAATATCGGAAGTATTGTGTCCTGCACGACGTGTTACAACCAGAAAATTCAGGGCGAAGTGTTAGCTTTCGACGAAGGAACCAAAATGCTTGCGATCAGTATCTTTTTCTTGTCTGTGACCAGGAATAAGGACACATCTTGTGCTTTGTTTACACGAAACGTCAAGTTAAAGAATGACCTGAAAATGGAATTTTTGTCATTTAGCTTTAGAAACTGACATGCTTTGATTTTAAGCATCGAAATTTGAGCTAGAACTAATAATTGTAGGAATCGGTCGCAAGTGGTATCTTAACCAGCACAATTACTGAAATATTTAATGATATTACAATTGTGTGATTGAAACTTTTACTAAACAACTTTCATGTAAAACCAGCAGGCATTTTCCCCAATAAGTATCACTGAATTACATACGTTGTTTCTTTTGTTTATGTTGCACACAGTGTAAGACCTTAAATGTGGTTAGATTTATTTTGTTAAAAATTAAGGTCCTCTTTTCAATCTGATCCTATAGCTGCTTGTTAATTGTTGAATTGTGAGTTTCTGAGTTTTTTTTTTTAACTTGAATTCCTCTGCTGAATAACCAGTTAGCCCTTCCACACCTGTTTTATACAAGTTTATAGTGAGCACTGCTCCTTTAACAAGCTCTATTATAGATTACATGCATGTATATATGAACAAGTACTTGAAAACATACTTTCTAAATACAGAATATATATGTTATGGTATAAATGCTATGATGTACAATTTTGAGATTCAATTAATTTTGGAAATCTATTGAACCTTAACCTTTTGTAAGAATCTCCTGCAGCCAGTGGTAAGCGAGATGTTCACGATATAAAGATGGTTAATTTGTCCTTCGTTAGCCACATCAAGGTGACAAAAGAATGTAACGACCCTCCACCTCCACTTACTAGCATCAGTATACAAAAGGTTTGTCACCTTTCAATCAAAATAAGGCCATCCTTAAAAAATTGTTTTTTTTGCAGTAACGCGACTCATCATTTTAGATGTGAGTAGGTAGGTAGGTAATTTTTTTTTTTTTTTGGTAGACAAATGTCGGGAATGATTTAATTTTAGGTGTTGTAATTTTAACACCAGCATTTGATGCACCCAGATTTCTTAAACGTATAAGAATCACATATTCTTACTGAATCTTTCTGACAATTGTTGGCACACTCATGACTGCAAGTTAACAAGAAAATTTTTTCGTTTTTAAAACAAGTCATCTTGATGGTTAAATGCTAATATGACCTGTCTCTGCAATCATCAGGAGACCACCTTAACCTAATCTCTCATTTGTTTTTAAGTTTGATCTAAAGATTTTTAAAATTAAATTTTGTAATTACTGCAACCCATAGGTGTATTTACATTCTTTAATTCATCCTACTGCATTTAATATTTCATGGCCTCTACTCTATCTCTCTCTATCCATTTTTCTCCGATTCTGTATTTGACATACTTGTAAAAACCATTTTGATGTGAATTGATATAAAATATGGAATAAAATTCCCATTTACAAAATTAATGTGCTGCATATCAAAGAATTTTTTTTAATAAAAGGGTTTGAACATTTATTTTTAATACATTTCCAATTGATTTTTAAAATTCATTAAATAGAGTGGATCGATTTTCCCCCCTTTTCTTTCTCAACTTAACACAAATTATAATAAAAGAAGTGATAATTTATAATGACAACAAATCATTGTTTCCGACAATTAAAAAACACTGAAAAAAGTAAGATTTTTTTTGTTTTACCTTTGAACATCATTTTCATACTGATATATTTATTTACTAGAACTGTTCAGTATGGCATTTAAATAAGTTTATATATATAGGTCTTCATGTTGAACAATTAAATGACAAGAAAAATAATGTATCCAGTACAAAGCATCTGTGTTCATTTACCGAATGTACTGCATTATTTACATTATAGCTGGAAAATACGACCCGATGTTGATTTCTACTGGATTTTTAGAACTGTTGCAGTGAAAAACTACATTGGATGGAAATTGTAACACTTTGACCTTCAATGTCGATTTTAAGTGTGTTTAAGACAGTGATAAAAAAAATGTAAGACGACTAAAATCTCGATCTCTTGGAAACCTGGCAAAGTTTTAAGCCTAAGGCGACTTTTTCGACCCAAATTCCCTCTAGCTTCATAGTAAACGCGTGTGTCAATGACAATAATCATAGATGTGTTTCCCGCGGACTTGTCATCGCCATTTTTACACGCCGGTTTGTCGTGATCATCAAAATGCTTTTAATAGTTGCAGATTGAGGAAATCGAGCGTCTCTGTAATTCAGACATCAAGAAAAAATGGTCGGATAAAAACGGAAAGTAGACACGCATGTAAAAAAAAAAGTCATACTTTGAATTGGTTAAAAAAAATTTGAATCGGATGGATTTTTATGAGTCGGTCACGTTACTGCAAAAAAAACAATTTTTATTAAGGATGGCCTAACAACAGATTTTTCCTATTTTAAAGCTTGCAGACTTAGTCACTTACTCAAATGTTGCAGAGCAGTTTCACTCAAAAGTTTGCATGGAGTATATTAAATGACCATTTTCCTGTATGTATATAAATATCTGGTAATTACCTCTTTTTAGGTCAATATGGTGAAATGAGGATCCCAAGACCTGGTTCATGAGGTGACAACTTGACCAAGGTCAGGACACAGAGTGAATCAGATCAAGGGACCTTATTTTACAATATTGACCTCACGAGGGGAAATCAACTGTTTTATTATACCAATAATTCTAAGAGAAAATAATTTTAAGGCAACATGCTCAAGTCTCCTCTAAATCAACAACTGAGGACTAGAAAGGATGATAAAAGATAGACATAATCAAGCCATTTTGTGCAAGAGCAGAGCTGCCAACCCTTAAGATTTTGGCTTAAGGCTTCAAAAGCATCTAAAATACACCTCACAATTTCTCTGCTTAATCTTCTGATTTTCTCCATCAAAAGTTTAAAATACCAGGATTTTCTTGGCTGTTTGTGACAGTTTTCATTATTATAATGAAAATTCATAGTCCTTACAAAGCTTTTTTATATTTTTATTATCTGTCCATTTAACATGTTTAAAGTACTGGTAAACAAAATGGAAAAAAAAATCTCGAATGGATGGGGGCCTTGCTTGATATATTGCTTGATATACCTGTTATTTTTCAGGTGTAAACATTGATTCAGCAATGGTTCTTGATCTGCAGAATATTTGTTACAAATATTCTTAATTATTTACCAACATTTTTTATTCCGATTCAAAAGTTCATCAGTGTTCTTCTGTAACCAGCAGAAAAATTCTTCTAGTAACATCTCCTCAGCTGAATTTTGAAATAATATTACTATTAAGTTTCATGAAGAAAAAAAAAACTACCAGGTACTGTTTTATTAAGTTTTAAAAAATCTCTTCAATCATGTTAACTGAAAGGATAAGAAAAAGTATATTTGTGAAGGAAGGAGGAAAGATGTGGGAAGGAGGAGTGGGGTAGAATCAGAACCCCTGGAAGAGGACACAGCTTCAGTAAAGATTAAATACTGTATATTTTGTAGATACAAAGTAGATTACGACAGAATTTGGAAGAGAAGAAAAGGCAGGTGAACTACATAGGCATTGGTGTAACCCCAGAGGGACAGAGGGCATTCAACTCCATCATCAAAACGTATGTAGCTACGTATACCAGAAATCTGATGCTTGAGCTTCAGGAGTGTTTTACAAATGTGCAAAAAGTGTTTATTGGTAGCCATTCAGTATTTGGATTTGTAGAAACGCATGCAAGCTATAAGCCTTAATACACCCAAACTCAGTTGTAAACATGGAAACATTATTTACAAACAAATGGTCATTTGAGAAATTCCATCTAACAAAAACTTCATATTTAAAAGAGCTTATAATTAAATGATTTTGGTTCTGTTACTATCATCTAAAGTTGAATATTTAAATGGACACGGAATACAGAGGATATATCCTGAATAAGGAAGATACTGTTCATTCTCCTAAATGTGAATGAGGAACAACTGAATATGTCATGAGGATTGTTTGACTGGATTAGATAAACAAATACTGTAAACCAACTTTTATTCGCATGCGAGAAATATTCGCGAGTTTCACGAGCCTCTTTAACTCGCGAATATTAATCATCGCGAACCATTTATCTTTCCTTTTTTTGTAAAGAATATTTCCTCAGTTGCGAAAAATTAATTGTCGCGTATTGATTTCAAACTGAAAAATCGCGAATAAAAGATCTCACCACTGTGCCCTATACAGATCAATGTAAACATAATTGATTAATATTTGTCCTGGTTTTTGACAGGTTAAGTGATGTAAAATGGAACGGCAAAGACATTGTTGTGATGGATGACGTCAGAATTTCTCCACCATACGGACCAGAAAACTGTAGTGGAAAGGAGGGGCATCTCCTTAATCATGTCAAAAAAATAGTAAGGCATCTCCTTATTCATATCAAAACAAGATGTGTTTGTGAAACATTGATGCCCCCACATGGCAACTTATGGCAAAGGTTAAACTTTCTCAATGCAAATCAGATATGTTGGTACCCAAAGAAGGTCTCGTCCCTAGCAATATACCTCTGAAATATGAAAGCCCTAGCAGCAGCCATTGAATACATATGGAAAAGGTTAAAGTTTTTCAAAAGTAAGTCAGACATCCAGGTCAAATGGTCAAAATTAATGGTGCCCAAGGATAGGCCTTTTCACAAAAAGTACACATGTGAAATATGAAGCTGTATCACAAATCATTCAAAAGTTATGGCGAAGGTTAAAGTTTTTCAAAAGGAGGTCAAACTCCAAGGTCAAAGGATCAAAGTTGTTGGTATCGAAAGGATGGTCTTGTCACAAGGAATGGACATGTTAAATATGAAAACCCTAGCACCAAATGTTTATGGCCAAGGTTAAATTTTCCAAAAGTAAGTCAAACTCCTAGATCAAGGTCAAAGGGTCAAAGTTGTTGGTATTCAAAGGAAGGACTTGTCAAAAGTATTACATATATGAAAATGAAAGCCCTATCACCAACTGTTCAAAAGTTATGGCCATGGTTAAAGTTTTTCAAAAGTAGATCAAATTCTAAGGTCAAGGTCAAAGGGTCAGTTGTTGGTATCCAAAGGAAGGTCTTGTCACAAGGATTACACATGTGAAGTATGAAAGTCCCAGCACCAATTGTTCAAAAGTTATGGCCAAGGTTAAAGATTGGTAAAATTTTGCAAAACTGGGTCAAACTCCAAGGTCAAAAGGTCAAATATGATGGAACGTAAAGAAAGGTCTTGTCAAAAGGAATACACCTGTGAAATATGAAAGCCATAGCTCCACCCAATCAAAAATTATAGGCAATGTTAAAGTTTTTGTGGACAAACAGACAGCTAGACAGACGGACGGACAGGGCAAAAACTATGTACCCCTGAATCTTTGATAGGGGGGCATAAAAATAGTAAGGCATCTCCTTAATCCTGTCAAAAAAATAATAAGGAATCTCTTTGATAATGAAAAAAAAATCACAGAAGTGGTTATTTGAAAAATGCAATATACACACATATTATATCCTTACATGTCGTAATATTTAACGACTCCTGCTTGACATCACAATGTGCCTGTGTGTTTTCATAATGTGCTGATGGAGTGAAATAAATACTCGCATAGATACCTCCACTTCTTACGTCAATAGCCTTACAAATTTTGCTGCAACATTTTACCAGAACTATAGATTGTGGAATCATAAATGTCTTAAAACTAAATAATACTTTGCCTTTTGGGATCAGGGTCTTAATACCAACAAAATTTCTAGATGCCTTGTTATAATGCAGCACCATGCCTAGACACAAGTTTTTACACATGTATGTATCAATGTTGAGTTGAATGTCTCCTCCTTTCTCCAGACCTTTCTCAATGTTATAGTATTGCATGCAAATACAACTAAATAATATGGAAACATTAATATAAGGCTATAAAATTGAGTTCCTGAAATGTAATGGACATGCATGAAAATTGATAAATTATATGTCGATTTGCCAAAATCACTCAATGTTGTCCCTAAGACCCAGATTCCTGGGAATTTCCCCAGTTATTCTGGTATTCCTCCTCAAACCCCAGTTAGGGGAGGAACGTAGACCCCCTTCTACTTTTTTAATGTCCCCTGCTATTTCAATTCTTATGGACAACCCTGATAAGTTGTTTAGTGTAGATTTTTTTTTGCACTACCGTAGGACAATCACAGGTAATTCCACCCGAGGCATCTAGCAATTTGGGTGCATGATACAGGACTACATGTACTTCTTTTACAGTGGAGGAGCAGCTTCCTTTAAATTTTCCTGACATTTTCTAAAGAGCAAAGAGAATAAATTGCATTCTTTTTGAGATGCAAACACTAATCTGGTAAATAGTTTCATAGTGTATAGACATTTTTCACTGTGAGCAAACTGTAGCTGGCAAAATGATTGCACGACTGTGATGAGTGCTCAACTTTTAAGCAAAATTGGGAAACTCATGGCCCTTGGATTCAGATTCAGACTCTAGGGTGGATCATGTAATAAAAATAAATTATGTTTTTGAAAATCTACTAATGAACATTCAGCAAGTAAAATGTTTCATGATAATGATAAACACTTTGCCCTCTACCAAAATCATGGAACTCATTGCCCCCCCCCCCCTACCCCCACCCCCTGGTGGGGCTAAGATGGTCATATATTTGAATACATTAACTTTTGAAAATCTTCTTCACTCCTGGATATATATATAGCAGGCAAATTGTTTGCATTATAAACATTTTGCTTTGTTAATTTTTACACCCCACTTTTTAGAAAGTATAGGGACATTAAATCTCATTTGTCTGTCTGACAGTCTTTCACAAAAACTTTAAACTGCCATAACTTTAAAATTAGAAAAGATAAGTTTTTTTTTTCACATCTGCATTACCTGTGACTTTCCAAATGTTTTATGATTTTTGACTTCATGGTCTTGAGCTTGAAGTGTGATCCACTTTTGAAAATTTTTAACCTTGGACATAACTTTTGCATATGAAGAGACAGGATTTCATATTTTACCTGTGCAATACCTATGACTAGACCTTTACAGATGTACTATGATTTATGACTTTGACCTGAAAGTTTGACCTTGTCTTTAAAAAAAAATTATCCTTGGCTGTAGCTTTTGCACCTGAAGAGATGGGTTTTTCGTATTTTACATGTGAAGACTTATGGTTTTTGACCTGTCAACCTTGACTTTTAAGTTTGGCCTATTTTTTAAAAGATTTAACCTTGGCCATAACTTTTGCACAAAAATACACAAGGCTTTCATTACCTTTAATGAGAATATTTCAATCGAACATTTTGACCTTATTACCTAGATCTCCAAGTTTGACTTTCAAAAACTTTACCTTGGGGTATAACTTTTGCACCAGAACATATCACTTTAAAGATATAGAAGTAATTAAACTCTTTTTAGCATGGTGTACAGACAAGACAGTAACAATATTACCTTAAACCAACAAGACACTGAAGGGAGGGTCAACAACTCTCTGAATTTGCTTGTATTTTCTTTTTTCAGCTAAACAAACACCACAGTGAAGAAAATCAGAAATCAGACCCGAGAAAATCAGCATCACCTGTGTCCAGTACATCATGAACAAAAGCAAAGTTTTAAATATTAAGGAACTCCATTACTCAAAAAAAGAAAAAGAAAGGGGGAAAATTAAAAAATTAGATCTCTTTTAAGATTTTAATGAGTTGCAAAATGCAAAATTTACATTAACATGCTGAGTGTTAATTTTGATAGGATATGCTTATCATGTGTTTTATTTGAGACCAAAAAAAATTAGGGAAGTGACTGAAGCATGTCCATTATTTTTTGTTCATACAAGGTAAAAGAAAGGTTATGAAGAAGAAAAAAAGTTTTATAAAAAGATTCTAAATGATGAATTATAAAAAAAAAATACAGTGAACATGTAAATGGTAAATTTAAATTGAAGTTATATATATTTTAAACTCTGTTTATTTAGACAAATCTATGAGATTTTAATCATGTTAAAAATTTGAAGCAGTTTGTTTTAAACATGTCTATTTGAAATGTTGTGCAATTCCAGAATTGATGGGTGGAACTATCATTGTTGCACTACTTGTATTTTGGAAAAAATGAATGGAATTATGTGTAAGAAAAAAAATGGGGATAAAAAAATTGTTTGGGGGTGCTATTTATTAAATTGATAAACCAAAAGTTGTGTTTAAATCAAGATTAAATTGATTATTGAAGGAATTTTTCTTTCTCTTCTCTTCTTTCTGTCAGCAGTGTTTGCAGAGAATGTTGTTGTATGAAGCTACATTGGTGCCATGGTGTAAGAGTGTCAGGGTCTGTTCCTATTTTCTTGCACAGTGGAAGCAATGACTTGCATTTTTTTAATACAGTATAGCTCACCTGAGCTGAAGGCTCATGAGCATTTCTGATCAAAATTTGTCCTTCGTCCGTCATTGTCATCATAAACTTTTCACATTTTCATCTTCTTCATAAGAACCACACAGCCAATTTCAACCAAACTTTGCACAGAGTATCTTTAGGTGAAGGGAATTCAAGTTTGTTTAATTGAAGGGCCATGTCATGGCCTCTTCCAATAAGAGATAATAAAGAAATAATGAAATTGGGTGGGATCATTTAAAAATCTTCTCAAGAATCATTGCTGCAGAAAAGATGAAACTTGTATGAAATCTTCCTGACATAGAGTAGATTCTTAAAGAATCATCATCTCAAGAACAGCAAAGCATCATCAGGTAGTGTTGATTCAAATTTGTTCAAATCATGACCCCTAGGGAGGGGGGCTGCTATGTACAATCAAAGTTTTACGTTGGAATTTATAGGGAAAATACAGTGAAACTTGTCTAATCCAGATGTTGTATATTCCAAAATCTGGTCTAATATGATGTAACCTTCAAATCCCTTTCAGTTATTTCAATTGCTCAAAATGTTGTCTAATCTGGAATGTCTAATCTGGCCAATTTTTCTGGAACCAGTGGTGGCCGGATTAAACAAGTTTTACTGTAATATATAAAAATCTTCTCAAGAACAGTAAACTGATGATGAGACATATTTATATTGAAACCTTAGGTAGTGTAGATTCAGGTTTTGTTCAAATCATAATTTCTGGGGTAGGGTGAGGCCACAATGTGCAATCAAAGTTTTACATAGAAATATATAGAAAAAATCTGAAGAAGAACAGCAAACCAATGATAAGTTATATTGATATGGAAGCATCTTCAGGTAGTGTAGATTCAAGTTTGTTTAAATCCTGACCCCTTGGGTAGTTTTGGGCCACAATGGGCATGCAAAGTTTTAGTGCTTGGGAATATATATAGGAAAAAGCTTAAAAATTATTGTCCCCAATAACAGCAAAGGCATGATTAGTCATATTGAAATTGAAGCATCTTCAGGTAGTGTAGATTCAAGTTTGTTCATATAATGACTCCCAGGGCAATCGAAGTTTGAAGTGAATATATAGGAAAAAAAATCTTTTTTGAAATCTCAAGAACAGCAAAAGCTATGATTAGTTATATTAATATGGAAGCATCCTAAGGAATTGTAGATTCAAGTTTGTTTAAATCATGACCCCTAGGGTAGGTAGAATGTGATCTAAGTTTTATATCAGAATTTATATATAAGGAAAATAATCTATTATGAACAACAGGTTTCCTCTCCATCTGTCCGTTTGTCTGTCCCTCTCTTTGTTTATTCAGATTGACCCACTTGGTTTTCCCGACTTTTTTATACACTTACAGATATTGAGCTGATTTTTACATGTAGTATGAGAGTCAGTCTATCTTGATTTACCATTCAACGCCCTTAATTGAACTTAAAGCCTCAAATTTACCACAGGCACTTGAGGAATGGATTATGCTCCCCCCCCCCCCCCCCGAACTTCTGTTTTAATTAGTACTAAAGAGTCATAGAGGCACAACCTTCAAAATTTTCCAAAAACGGAAAATATCAGATATCGGAATATAGGTATGATAGGCTAGGAATTCATGTATTTTTGATGAGTTATTGTGTCTAGTAAAAATCTCAGACGTGAATCGACATTTAGATATATCGACAACGTTTTATTAATTAACAACAATCCATTTTCTTTTCTACGTTAATTCGATATAAAAGACACCACAGAGTCTGACACATCTGTTTTTATATATGGATATTTTGATATTGATGGCAAACTAACAAATGAACTTCATGATAAACGTGATGACTTCAACTTTTCTACCGTCAACTTTCCTAATTTATGGAGTGCTCAATATACAGTTATCGCCTGCAAAAGGAGTCTGTCTCCCAGTTGATTCGATACGCAAGAGAATGTTCTACGTACGTACAATTTCTAAACAGAGGCAAGCTATCGACAAATAAGTTAATGATTCCAGGATTTCAGGAGTCTCGTTGAGAGTGAACATTTTGAAAATCTACTCGTTGAGTGGAATGTTGACTGACGTTTTCATACTTAATGTTAGATCATTATATTCATACTGAATTGTCTACGGATTTTTCCTTTAACCCGATCATGATAAGGAGCACCCATGCAGGCGGATGTGATTTGACAACAATGGATGCTTACTTCTCAAGTTTTCCGTTTTTCCGATCATGACAAGGAACACACTGCGGGTGTGACCGTCGGTAGGGGATGCTCACTCCTCCATGGCACATGATCCCACCTCTGATGTTTAGAGGTCCGTGTTTGCTCGGCTCACAATTTGTATTGTTTCAATGGGCTGTTACCATTATATTCATATTTCATACTTAAAGTTTAATTTATATATAAAACATATAGGAGGTAGCTTTGCGTAGGGATTGTTGCCTATATTCATTCTCGGTGTCTTTGCACACATCCCCCTCCCCCTTTCCCCGGTGTATACTGGCAAGCTAAAAATAATGGCCTTGAAATGAAGGTTATCCTCAGATAAACACGTCCTCTAGCTCGAAATGTTGTTATGCTCTTTAAGTATATAAGCTTTTCACGACAATAGCAAATTTGGCAGCCTCCTTAATATGTCAGGGGTCTAGCGTCCTGACGTTGTGGGGGATAATTTAACTAAATACTAGTATTTTCCTCCAGTGAATACGATGACTATTTATTCATAGTAAATGGTTTATTCTTATCGTGAGATTACGTTTGTACATTTGTTTCGGCTTTTGAAGGAAGCGTATGTGCTTTTATAGTGTTTCTTGTGAAGGATATTTCAGTGAAAACAGGTGTCTTAACTGTTCATCATTACAGGGCGAAAAAACACAATATTAAAAAAAAACAACACTTTATTTACATGAAAATAAAAAAAAATATGCATGTTAATTGTTTCTTTTTTAAATAATCTTCTTCGACAGAACATATAATATATGTACAATCAAAATCAAAAGTTAATTACATAGATACAATGTCTGGATTATATTAATGTGCTTTTATTTTATCTTCCTTTAGCAACGTATATGTAGATTTTCATTGCAAAAGAAAAATCCCAATCATTTCCAAAAACTACTATATAAAGGCCCTCTGACTGGGTAACTATAAACTATAACTATATAATTCGTAATTTATATATTGAAAGCCATTTTGATTTTCATCTTTACATCGATATTAAAATAATTTATCAATTTCACCACTGTTTTCACTTAGAGTAATTTATGAATAATCATGATTGATTCTTTTTATCTATGTTGATTTTAATGACGAAATTAAAATCAAGATACTTTAATGAAGAACTCTTATCATACATGTAATGGATATATTTTATCCTCAATCTTCCTTTTCAGTCTAAGTACTTAATCCTCTTGATCATTCCTGTATTACACTCTCCCACCATTAACTCCCCCTCCCTAACGACACACACGGCCCGTGGTCTCCGTATCCCCTGATCAGGAATGATGTACCTCAGGAATCGACCGTCCTTGTCCAGCATGTGAATCTTGACGCCGTTAATATCAGTGATGATGATGTGATACATGCTATCTGTGGTAAGGGAACTATCAAATTTCTCCTTGGATGCTTTGTTTCCTGTGTAGGAGAATCTGAATATTCCGAACTTGTCAACAACCGTGACGGCTTTTTTACTCCAGTCAGCTACACAAACGTCTCCGTTACCATTCTCCGCCACGTAATTTGTTTTTCCAAACAGAGGCTGGTACTGGGAGTCGTACTGGATTTCCTGCAGCACTTCACCGGAACTGCTGTACCTCACGACCTTGGACTCTGTTTGATCTGTTGTCCGGAGACAGACCAGGAAATCCTGTGCTGCGGTACAGGTGACACCGTAAGGTTCCCACTCCCCGGTACAGAATAACGTATCTACTTTACCGTTTATTACTTTCTTCACGGTCTTATCATTTATATCGGTGTACACCACGTGTCCATCATGAAGGGTCAGGTACATACCAAAACACGTGATGGTGACAGTGTCGTGGAGTCCTCCCTGGAGATCAAACAGCTTGAGCTCTTTACTGTTTCCTCCTGCCCATACTTTGTCATCACCGAGGGGAACCATGTCAAACAGCCGGTTGTTTTTTTTTGCTAGCTGGAAACTCTGTATCAAAGGCGGACAGAACTGTGGGTACATCTAGAGGTTGTCGTGATGAGATATTCTCTTCTTGGGTCAAATCGTTAATAGTTAATTTGTGTGTTTCTATACTCTCTATGTAACCAAAGTATGATGTTGTATAGCTTTCATTGAACTTGCAAGGTTGAAAGAATGCTGGTCGGATTTCTTCTATAAAGGTTGGCACCTGCTGATGTTCAAGTTCAAGCTTAAGTTCCATTAATCCAGAGATATCTTTGGATTTTGCCAAGGTGAAGACTGTTTGTTTCAGGCTTTTTAGTTTCTTCAGTATCTCCTCAAATTCTCTCTTTTGCTTCAATAATACTTCTAAATGCTTTTCTTGCAATTCATCTAGATCTTTGTGCAGTGTCTTCTCTGCTTTATCAATCTCCTGATGCCACTCTTTAGCATGGGATGAAATGTTATCTTTTGTCTGTTTGTAGACATATGGAAGTGCTGCCGATCTTTTACTTATATGCTCGAGAATTTTCTCCAACTCTGATCGCATCGACTGTAGCCGTTCATTTTCTTTCATTATAAAATCTGATAATGCGTCGACTTTCTCTGATAATTCGCATATTTCATGTGTTTTATGTTTGATTGATACACACAAGAGACAGATAGGAATATCACATGTTTTGCAGAAAGCACTACACTGATGTTGGGGGTGGGCCAAACATTCTCCACCCTCGGGTTTGTTTTGTTCATTATATTCTGTAACATCATGACCATTTTTAGATTTGATAAGCATGTGAGGCCCTACACATGTGCTGCATAATTTAACGGCACACCTTGTGCACTTGAAGTTGACGGGACTTTTACAAATATCGCATTCTAGGTAGTGTTGTCCTTGACTTGAATCTGAGGACGCCATCTTTTTATCTTTAAAAGAAAATGCAAAATACTGTAAACTTAAAAAGTAAGAATGATTCATTTATTGAAATTATTTAATAGAAATATGTCAAGTGTCCAAAGAAAAGAAGAAGTTGCATTAGAGCTTAGAATAAGGCATTTCAGAACACACGAATATATGCTAAATAATATTCCATTTCTTAAGATAAAGGTACTATAAGCATCATGCTTTTCATTTAAAAAAAAAAACAAGATAGATACTAATAAAGATTTTATTTTAAACAATAGTTCAGTTTATCAGTTTTCAGTTTAAATTTAATGGTTTACAGCATGCAACTATTATAACAAAATTGAAGCTTTAAAGCGGGAACATCTCCTTGATATAATCGTGTCAGTTTACAATCTAATTTTTCTTATATCCTTATTGCGTCCTAGTATAGCCTGATCAACGTTTTTTCATTCTATGTTTTCAGATTTATATTCAAATTGGGGAGGGATTGCCAATTGTGAGAACTGTTTATTCAGAATTTTCCAAATGAATCCTTTTAAGATTTTGATTTCATAGCAGGGTTTCATTCATTTTTGTTGAAAAGATGACTGTATCATGACCATTATGAAATATATTACTAGAATTAATTCCAATATTTAAAAAAAAAACCATATAGTTGTGAAATTTCGGGTATTGTATACGATACGTCTTTGCCTATGAGTTAATGGTAGAAGCAACTTCCTTTTTGCTCTAGATCTGTTTTCATTTTTTTTTTTATTTCATATCCTTTCAAATTAATATTCATTGGTTTGGCTATAAAATTTTATCCATTTCATTCTTTCTTGCATTTGACATGTTATGGCACATAAGGGTTCTTATTTTACGAGAACCGCTGACTTGGAAAAAAGATACAATGTACTATATTAACTGATAAAGGATAGCACGTAATTAGAAAAAATACGTTAAAACAAATATGCCAATTTGCTTTGGACAGATTTGATCAAAATTATTTTTCACGTTCTCATTTCTTCCTGGTTTGATCATACGATTTTTTTTCTTTTATTTATGAATCATTTTAAAAATATTTGATAATTTTTAATGTTGAATAAATTATAAATCATATAGACATGTATTTCAAATCACAGATTGTGGATTTCCTCTGTGCATATCACAGACACATTAGCCTTTGACTTACTTTTTTTTTTCACGACTAGACATGTCGAGTGACTTACAACTAGGACATTCTTTCTTTGCAGAAGGAAACATTTACTATTGTCAAGTAATTTGTGATTTAAAAATACTGAAAATAAAGGACACTAAATAAACTTAAAATCAGCAATATCATTTAGAGGTAATTATTCATAGCAAACCTCTTAACAATCAATCCTCCATCTTGAACTCATACCTTACCCGGCCAACAAATGAAGTGGATCTTGTGTCAATTTAAAACTCTGGTGGAACAAAAAGGGTGCACGCATACAGTTAATGTTTTGTATATGTTTCCATAACTGCATCTACTATTCAATAGATGCATTATATCAACATCTATAACATAATTTGACATGTTTGACTAAGATTGTTTCTATATAAATTTATTTGAAATTAAACAAGTCAGTAAATTATAATAACATATACCCTTCGTGGCCCTCCAAATATTTAGCAAAATCATGTGATATGTAACACTGTGTAATAGTAAACTATTTATGTGCACAGGCAAGATGCGTAGATTAAACAGTCTCGAGAAAGCAAGTGACGAACGTTGCGAAGGCTATAATGTGAAGATTTCACCCGAGGCGCGTAGCGCCAAATTGGGGTTAATGGGGAGGGAGTCGACTCCTCCCATTGGAAGGTGGATAAGGGGCACCCTCCTGAGAAAAAATAGATATGAACTCCATCGATTTTATTAAATAAATTAAAAAAGGTTAAGAGTTATTTTTAGGCACTTAGTACCCCCTCCCTCCTTACTTTTTAGCAAACTCCACCTTTTACTGCTGAAAATGTTCAATGAAAGCCCCCCCCCCTTTGTTGCTGTATATTCAATTTAGTCAACTCGTCCCATGGTTAATGTACAGTGTATTAATAAAATTTGTTTGTGGAAATAGAAGGAATTAAAAACCCCACCCACCACCACAGGGCCCACACCCGAAGAAGAGATTTGAGTTTTTGACACCCCCTTTTCTGGATTTTTCGGTAATTTGTCGAATATTTTTTCAGTCGCCCGCGTGGCGCAGTGGTTAGAGCGTCTGCTCTAGAGTCGCGGAGTAAGAGTTGATCCTTACGTCGCGGGTTCGAATCCCACTGCGGGACGTGGAGACCGGTCCTTCGGATGAGACCGTATAAACCGAGGTACTGTGTCACAGTAGGTGCTGGCACGAAAAAGATCCCTCACTGCTCAATTGCCCTGAGTGCCGAGTATAGGTCAAAATTTGTAGCCCTCCACCAGCAAGTGGTGGCGTCTCCATATGAGTGAAAAATTCTCGAGAGGGACGTTAAACAACAAACAAACAAAGGATGAGTGCACTTAAGCTATGAGAGTTGGGTATCGGTGTTTTGCGCAAAATAAAATTCCGAAGTTCATGAACTTTATGTTTTATAGGTATTAAACAATGTCTTAAGAGCAGGTTTTGGTATATTATATTACATAAAAGTATTAAATAATGCCGAGCGACACTAGCTTTTGAGACGGCCGGGTCTAACAGTTTTGTCACATTTCTATTGTTATTCATATGCATACCACTTTTCAACGACATTGTTTACATCGAGCCGCAACTTGTCCATTGGTCTCATTTGCACAGAATGTGTATTTTAATTTATACTTCAACATATCCAAAGGACAATTAATGTTGGACAAAATTTGGCTCATGTCTAATTTTTTGAAAAAGTCTCCAAACTACGGTCGAATTAGCCACTAAATTAACAGTTCACCGAGTGTCAACGATTGATATTATAATCGCTTTACTCACGTGACATTCCACTGTTCGATAAGCTAAGGCTTTCATTGAGCATTTCATTGTGTTTGTCATTGAAAGTTTCTATTGTGACAGTATCTATCGTACTTCCAACTTCAAACTATGGAAGATTTTTGCGCAAATTTTAATAGGGTTTGAAGATTATATGTCTCTTATTTTACTTTGTATTTTTCATTAGGGGTGTTTTGAAAGAATTCTGGTATTGACAGTGTGATTAGTAAGTTCATCTACAGGCTCATGTCGCCTCTGTATAATGGTCTGCAGGGCGAGACATCTTCCCCATCCCTTACGCTAGAATCATTTATTATTTGTGCACCATGGAACTACACAATCTCTCTCTTCTCCATTTAAATTCGCAGTGCGAAAAAAAAATCATATGTGCTAATGTTTACATTCCACATCCATGCGATTTAAATGTCTCCGCCTATTTGCGGATACCTTAAATTCGAAAGTGGTCCCGTTCAAATTTCCGGAATTTAAGGCTTGTACATGTTCTTTTCAATGACATTGTCTGTAATTATAGAAATATGTATGACAAAAAATTCAAGGAATAAATATCAAAAGAATATGAATAATCATAGATTATTTAAGCGATATATTGTAATGTAAAGCTTAAAATGGGTAGCCGAAAAGGTTCGAATTCCAAATGACGTACTAAGTGCACTCATTCTTTCTGCCTTTCTCCCCTTTCCCAACATTCAAAAGCAATACTGCATGTATATGCCTGTTTGTTATATATATTATCCAAAAATATATCCTTATAGTATCACAAGGGAGAAAAATCCACCTTTTTTATGTCACCTGCAGAGCAGAGCGACGTCTAGGGATCACTTTACCTGGCGTCTATCTGTATGTCCGTTCGTCCGTCTGCCACACCCTTAATCTTGAGAACTATAAGAGGTATGGATTTGATATTTTGCACACTTATTGCTTAACACTTTGGCTTTTGTAAAACATCACGTTTACCAACCTCGTGACCTTTGAACTTGGCTTGTGACCTACTTTTCAAAATAGTTTATTATGTCGTTATACAGCATATCTTTGATATTTAAGAGATAAGTGTATGTTATTTAGCATGTGCATTGTTTGCCACAAAACATTGTAGAAAACACCAGCGTTACAGTCCACTTTTGCAAAAATACTCCTGATGGTTGATTTAACATGTTTATATATACGTATATCAGGGAAAATGATGTTTAGGCTATAGAGCATTTTATCCTGTAATGCTTTATGGAATATACGTCACTGTCGTGAAGCCTGCAGACGATTTTAATTATTATATATTTTTAAAGAGAAAAAAATAAGGTTATATAAGAAATACAAAGAATCAAGAAAATTAAAAAAAAAAAAAAAAAAGAAAAAAAGATAAAACAACAGAAAAAAATTGTTCCCAAATTAAGGACAGATAAAACAAACTTTTTTTTACTTAAAAAATTATGAAAATAACAGCTAAAGTCATATGTTTATATAAGTAAAATGACTGTAAGTTAAACCGTATATATTCTAATTTTTCATTCAAAGTTTCACAATAATATCCTATAAATGATAAAAAATTGTATTGATTAATAAGAATGATTGCAGAAAGGTAGAATTTTGAACATCATAGAAAAGTTACGTGTACTATTTAATTTAGAAACCGGTTGACAGGAGATGCTTACTCCTAGTCACCCTATTCCACCCTTTGTGCATCCAGGGGCTTTTGCCCTCATCACAAATCGTTTTCTTATACTGGATGAATAAGATTTTTTTCTACTCTTGCAGACACTGGACTGAATTTCGGTATGCTAGTCTACCTTGATAAGTTACATATAATATTTGAATTTCAACGGAATAATTGTCTTTGACTTAGAGCCTGAAATTTTATAAGGAACCGGATACATAACACATACCGGTGGGCGACTATAGTATTGCTTAAGAAATCAATGTTTGATGCAACCCGTCAAGTTAGACAACTTAAAAGAGGGTTCAGTATTCAGTGCCGTTACTTTAGTATAGTATTATCGGGTGCTACTCATGGACAATTTTAAAAGACAGTATTAATCTTCTGGAAAAGAAAAGTTCCGTGTAAAAATATATGAAAGTGCATTAAATATTTAGTTAAAACGTGATTTTTTTCCTTGACTAAATAAAAAATCTCGATCTTTCAATTGGCGACAACATTTCACAAATATAATGAATATAATGAATTCTGCTGAAGATTATGCCAGACGATGGGTTAAAATTGAAGGAGAAAACCTTAATTTGTCAGAATGGATTAAAAGTTTAACGTGGATGTTGAAATCTCGTGTTAAACGCGTGAGGGTGCAATATGAAAACATCTATCTTTCTGTCTTCTGTAATTCAGAAGTGAAAAAAAGATTTACATAGATTATATGGTCAATATGTACTGGTCCCAGTTGACAATGCAAGTAACAACATATATAGTTTTTGTTTGTAAGACTTATTATTACAATTTCATTTTAGTGGAATTTAATTCTACAAGTGGTAATCCAACTTATTGTTCCCATCCTAAGGAGGAAATTCTTAAAAATCATATGTAAGTTTTACGTACCATACCTAAACTGCATTCCTACACTTCATATAAAAATCCTTACAAAGAAAGATACATATAGAGGGCTCTAGATAGTCCCAAACCTCTCCACAAGAAAATTTGAAATATTTGAAGGAGAAACTTCAAGAGTACTGTATAACAACATATATATTCGAGAAATGGTGTAAATCAGATGTGGATTCTCACAAACTCCAAAGAACTTTTAGAAAATATAAAATCGCCATTTTTTACAAAAATCAGTAACATTAAAACCTACGACGATTCGACACTTTTTACAACCATTCCTCACGATAACTTAAAAACTAGCTTTCTGATATCATAGACAACTGCAGCTGCTTCTTCAATAAAAATGGAAGTCGGAAATTTTCCTACCTTGTGATTGGTCAGTAACAAAATTCTTTGTTAAAAATTATTCTGATTCTACACACAAGTACTCTGAAGTTGATATTGAAAGGACAACATTTATGTAGTCTTCGGAGACCAGATCTTCCAAAAAAAAAAAAAAAAAAAAAAACTGTTTGAATTTTGATGGGCGTTAATAGTGCTCCTTTATTAGCCGACCTGTTTTTATATTCCTATGAAGCAGAATTTATTCAAATTTCTACATGAAAAGAAGGAAACACTTGCCGTGGCCTTCTACTCGACATTTAAATATATTGACACGTATGATAAATTATCAATAATTACTTCCATTCATATGTCGACTCGATATAGTGAACTTGAAATAAAAGATACCACAGAGTCTGCAACATCTTTTTCATAATTGATTGTTTTACTGGCTGTAGACGATAAGGGCCAACTATATGTAATAACAAAATTGTACGACAAACGAGATGACTTCAGCTTTTTTATCATTCTCGTTATTTATGTAGTAGTATCCCGCTATCACCTGCATATGGTGTTTACATCTCCCAGCTTATCCAATACTCAATAGCATGCTCCGAGAACGATCATTTTTTAAACCGAGACAGGCTACTGACAGATATGTTGATGTTACAGGGACTTCAACACCCTCGTTTAAAGTCGACATTTCGTAAATTCTATGGTAGTTAGAATGACCTTGTTCACAAATATAACCTATCACTGGTCGTATTTTGGCCTTTGTTTTTATACCGAATTTGACTACCTGAAAATTTGAATATTGTCTATCTGATCATTTTGTAGGGCTCATAACAGGTGTGACCGGTCGACAGGGGAAGCTTACTCTTCCTAGCACGTGATCCCACCCTAGCTGGAATTTCCAGGGATCCGTGTTTGATGCTCTCTTCACAGATATTTGTATTGTTTAATAGATTTTTGGAGATCATTCACTATTTGTTATCTTCACCCTTTTCTTTTGGGTACTTAAAATTTAAAATCCCAAAACTTTACCAAAATTTATGGCATCAAAACGTACAACTTTGCAACACTTTATACAACCTTTCCCCATGATAAATTAAGGATCAGACTTTTTGACATCATACTAAACATCTGCAGATGATTATCATAAATGTGTCACTGCTTAACAAGAAAGAAATAAAATAAGAGGCTATGTACAGTGTACTAGGTTGTGAAACTAATGATCGAAAGATTACTATATATTCAAATTCTATGGTAGATGCAATGACCTTGTTTGCAAATAGGTCAAATGCTGACCGACATATGTTAAGCCATTATTTTCATACTGAATTGTCTACAGATTTTCCCGTTTACACTATCATGAGAAGTGGCACACGGCGGGCGTGAACTGTCGAAAGGAGATATGTTTACTACTCTACGGCACCTGATCCCACCTCTATTTTCAGAGGTCAGATTCCGTGTTGGCTCTGTCCACAATTTGTACTGTTTAAATGGACTTTTGAGCATGATCGCTCTCGTTTTCAAATTTCATTTATGTGGATTTTTTGTTGTTGAAAATACTGAGTCTTCTGGTAAACCAATCAAACTGTGGATCTTCACTCTAATGTATGATTTTGACCGATCTATGAAATTGATTTACCAAGGACCAAAAGATAATTTCTTATTTTCTAGAGAAGACACAAAAGTACCAGATGTAACATAAATGTCACCTCCAACGACAATCCTAGGATTTCCGTCACAGTACGTCTTTTTGAACCACGTTTGGGTGGTACATGTATATTCTTTATCAAAGCCCCATCGAATAGTCCTCAACCAGTAATACATATACACACACCTCGCCGAAAGAGCAGACAGTCCACTGCAGATCAATTTGGACAATACAGTGCTATATTAACAATTAAGCTGAGATTTGAGGAACCACTTAGCAATGCCCCACAAACTCTCTTAAGAAAATTTTAGGAATTAGAAATTGAAAACGATTTTGCGACACTTCGTGAAATTTTATAAAAACGTGAGATTTACTTTATAAAAGCAGTAAAAATTAAATAACATATTTACCAGAGACCTTTAAAATTCTTTGTCAGAAACCTTCTATAAATAAGGACGATTTTGATTAGAAATGACAATAAATCCCTAAAATATAAAGAAATTGCAAGTTTTCTTTGATATTTAGATATGCAACTTTTCGCCGTTTTCCATGTAATTCTATACAAAATTTTGTACACATTTTTTAACACTGTGACAAAATCTTACCAATTCTCCCACTTTACCTGGCAAAAATTATTCAGGTTACCTATTTGAATATAAATTAATGAGAAATATTGCTCATTTGTGAAAAAAAAGGTTTGTGTTATTTATCCATAATTCTTCTTGCTCACCTTTGTTTTGACATTCCCTAGAAATACAAGAAACAACACAAAATAGATAAATAACTGTATTATTCAAATAGCATCATGTTTGCTTTTTAATACATAATAAATATTATATGTCTTTTAATGTTCTGCCATACAATATTATATATACACATTATTTTAAATACATGTATACCCATAATTATGACTCCAATTTTTTAAAGATGCATATGTAATCCTTGACTTTTGTTCATTGAACATTTCTTTACCACAGACATAGTGAATAATTTAAACTACACTGTAATATATGCATGTTCAACTTCTAATCAATTCAAATGATTTCAATTCATTGTTCATAGCTAAATAATTAGTTATCAAATAACTGTGTAACAATATCTGGAATCCAATGTACCGATGTTTAGCTAAATATATCTGATAATAAAATGTCAACAATTTACTACAAAAAGAAAACAAACTGCATATGTGTTATTTATATTGTGCAAAAACCTGTCAACATTTTTCTTGATATAATTATTTTCTTGGTACAAAAAGCTTCAGGAGGGAAAGAATTAAATTAATATTGCCATTCTTGCTGTTTTCTAGTCTCTTTAAGGGAAAAAAACAAGGGGAATAAATAGCACTTTTACACTGATTAAAAAAAAACAGTTATCATATCATCACAAAGCATGCACACACACATATAATGGAATGCAGAGACAAGGTCACATCAAGATTATATCATGTCTATGAAGAAGAGAAAAATTGCTTTGATCAACATTGATGAAAAAGCATAATCTGAATGAAATATTTGTTTGCAATAATTAAGATGTCTGAAGTATGAAAATCAATGTCTTTTAGTTTGTAACATTCTATAAAAATTGGAATTAAAAATTAATGTTAGATGTTGGAATTAATAGAATTATGACTAAAGTCTAAACACATCCGTTTTAATCATTTAAATTTTCTCCTCAATGCAATCATTAATTATGAATCTGATACAGAGCTGGAAATGTTAATTAAAAAAATTGAAGTCATGGCATCAAATGATATGAGACGAAACAAATTTAGAAATCCACAATAAACAAAAACAAAGATCTTACAAGGATTCTTAAGCATACAAGTCAATATAAAAAACAAAATTTTTGATTATTAATTTTTCAACATAATATAATATAATTGTAAAATTAACAAGTGCACATACTTGAAGAAATTCTGGTACAAATATTTTGCAAAAATACACAAAAGATCTGTTAGAGAGAAAGAATTACATACATAAAGCAGCTCATACACTATCTGTCAACTTGGATACAAATTATAAACTCGCTTCCAGGATAAACTAATAACCTGTAAATACATGCTTCATGTCATTATAATATAGAAAACAAGAAGCATGTAAAACCACTGAAAGACTGAGAAAATTCCTGATCTCTTCCATAGATCAACAGGAATTGTGATAAAAAGAGAAATATCCATCTGCCAATCAAATTGATTGACAGAAAAAGGTGCATATTGTTCAATGATTATAATGACCAGTGGGTGTGGTCTCTTGCTGTCAATCTGCTCAACAGATTGTTTTAAAGCCCTTCCTGTCTGCATGAAAGTCCATAAACAGCACACACTGGAGGGCTCTGCTATGACTGGATACAAGTAGTTGCTGGGTGGATCCCATTATTTTGGAGGCGGAGGTGGTGGAGCTCTTTGATTAGCTACAAAGGCAACATGACCATATTAAAACCATTGTACAATTTCTCATTTCATGTAAATTATGGAATTTTAATTTGAAAAGGTATTTCAATAAATGTTGTTATTAAAGTGTTTCTCAGGGAATTTTTTCACCCATTTAAGCACAGGCACTTGTTTCGTATATGGGGACCCCTACCTATTTTTACCACAAGGTACCTAACTCAATTTCAGGTACCCCTGCTTCAAGCTCGTATTTTGTTTATAGATCAATCATTAACCTACTTTAAAACGACATCGTTAGCTTCGAAAGACTTTTTTCTTGTCAAATTAATTGTTTTGGACATCTCTGGTCGATCCTCTTTATTGTAAACCAATCGTTTCTTCCTTGAAAATTATCTCGATACAAAATAAAACTAGGAATGGGATACATTGACTTCCAGTTGGGGTATTAAATGTAGGATAAGTCCAGAGACTTACAAGTATTCCTTTCTGAGGTCTCTAGTTTTATCCTTTATTTATAACCCAACTGGAAGTCTATGTATCCCATTCGTAGTCTTATTTTGTATCGAGATAATTTTCGAGGAAGAAATGAGCGGTTTACAATAAAGAGGATCGACCAGAGACATCCGAAACGATTAATTTGACAAGAAAAAAGTCTTTCGAAGCGAACAATGTCATTTTAAAGTAGGTTAATGATTGATATTTAAACAAAATACGAGCTTTAATCGGGGGTGCCTGAAATTGAGTTAGGTACCTTGTGGTAAAAATAAGTAGGGGTGTCCCGTATACGAAACAAGTGCCTGTGCATTTAAGGCTACTTTTTCCTTCTAAAACCTAGTACTAAAGAAGCAAGTGCAATATAGCACTCATATACTTTCAGAATAGAAAGTTACAGCAGTACATAGTCAATGGAATTCTTTAAACAATATATATCTTTTATAAAAACAGAGTATACAGATAAAAGAGAATAAACATTAAACAGTAAGGCTTGTTGATAATAGGATATAGATATGTGTTTGAGAAACGATCACCGACATTGTTTTAAAATTTTTTTGACATAAAAGGGGATATATCCACATAAATTATTCATGAAATAAGTGTAAACCACTTCTAACAAATTCAAAGAAGTTTTGGACAGATTTCAATTTATATATTTTTCCTTGCTTTGTAAAATAAACTGAAATATGGCTCATTTATGTAAATAACTTATATAAATTATATATATATATATATATATATATATATATATATATATATATGGATTTTGCATGAAAAATACAGTATTTCAAATCATTGTAAGAGGAGCAAATAATTTTTTTTCTAAAAAATAAAATTTTAAAAATGCTTTGTTCAATAAACTAAGCTTGTCTCTGACAGCTGAAGTTCAAAACTCCACTGTACCTTCATAGCTTGGTCTAAGTTCAGAAAATGATTCTTCAAAATAAGGAAAATGTAAAATTAAGATTGACACATTTCTTGTGATATAAAAGAAATATTCAGTTAAAAGTATTGTTTTTTTTTAATTAGAAGTGTTTTTTTTTTTTTAACACAAATGTGCTTTAGAGAAATGAATAATAATCTGACACATAATTACATAAATGTAGAAATATTAACAGAAACTATACAGAATAACATTTGTACATTCATTAAACACAAGTTATCTTCCTTGCCATTATTTACATGTAGCATATAATTTAATTATGGTATATAGACAGCTAATCCACATGAAAACCTGTGTACAATATTTCCTGTGAAACATGATCCATAACTTCACAAAATACAACAGTTCTAAAGTAAATACTACAGTACTAAGAAGTAAATAGTATAGCAAGATATAGAAGATATGTACAAAACATAATGTATTGTGTAACTAAAAGTTTAATACAAAAGAGGAAAAAAGTCAACAGACCATTGTACATAGAGTATAAAAAGAATTTGAGAGTATATCTCCCACGAGTAAACAATTCATTAGCATTATTTCTACATTTGTTCAGTCTTGGGGCTTTTCAACCTAAAATTACAAAGCAGACCCTCCCAGCTAAAATTTACATTAATTATTGTGAAATATCCTATTCCTCGGTCTATATTACAGTTGAATGTCTGACAAAAACTGCAAGGCTATGAATGTCAATCTGCTGAAAATCAAATCCCCAAGAATTTTTCACAGCAATAATAAATTTGCAGCTTTGTCCATCTTGCTAAAGAGGAGCAAATACATTCATCCACTATAAATAATTTTACCATGTCAACTTATTGAATAGAAATAAATAATAGCTATCATTTAAACACTTTATAGAGATTTGTCTCTATATACTGAATACAATGAAACAAAGACATCTTCATACAAAGAGTCAAATTCATAACAATTTTGACAGATTTTATTGATTCCATTAAGGTAGAGATTACACCAGTAAAATGTTTCAAGTTTTGTATACATGTATACAACGGAATACACAGTTTCTTTTTTCCTTACCACTATGCCATATAGACACTAAAAGCTACGGGAAAAAATATAAAAGATAATCAGCATTAAGTTTCTAATGACAGAAAGCAATTTTCTGGTTGGGTTCAAAACAGAACTGTACCATCCACAATCTGCCTTTCTGTGCTGCTAAAACTTCTCTTGAAGTAATAATAATAAAAAACAAGAGGCCCATGGGCCACATCGCTCACCTGAGCACATTGGCTAGGGGAAAAAAAAAATCAGTTTAGAATTGAAAAGTTAATGGGGGGGGGGGGGGGGGAGGGATTTGAATTTTAAACTACCTGATGATGCTTTCATATCAATATAACAAATGGCATTGCTGTTCCTGAGCAGAAGATTTTTTCCCATATATTCATTTGTAAAAATTTGATCCCCCATTGTGGCCCCACCCTACCCCCGGGGTCTCTCATTTGAACAAATTTCATTCTACACTACCCAAGGATGCCTCCATATCAATTTTACTAATCATGGCTTTTCTGTTCTTGAGAGAAAGATTTTTTCCTGTATATTTCTATGTAAAACTTTGATCCCCCATTGTGGCCCCACCCTACCCCCAGGGGTCATGATTTAAACAAACTTGAATCTGCACTACCTGAGGATGCTTCCATATAAATATGACCAATCATGGTTTTGCTGTTCTTAAGAAGAAGATTTTTTTTAAATATTTTCCTATATATTTCTATGTAAAAATTTGATCCCCCATTGTGGCCCCACCCTACCCCCAGGGGTCATGATTTGAACAAATTTGAATCTGCACTACCTGAGGATGCTTCCATATAAATATGACCAATCATGGCTTTGCTGTTCTAAAGAAGAAGATTTTTAAAGATATTTTCCTATATATTTCTATGTAAAACTTTGATCCCCCATTGTGGCCCCACCGTACCCCCCCCGGGTCATGATTTAAACAAACTTGAATCTGCACTACCTGAGGATGCTTCCATATAAATATGACCAATCATGGCTTTGCTGTTCTTAAGAAGAAGATTTTTAAAAATTATTTTCCTATATATTTCTATGTAAAACTTTGATCCCCCATTGTGGCCCCACCCTACCCCCGGGGGTCATGATTTGAACAAACTTGAATCTGCACTATCTGAGGATCCTTCCATATAAATATGACTAATCATGGCTTTGCTGTTCTTAAGAAGAAGATTTTTTAAAATATTTTCCTATATATTTCTATGTAAAATTTTGATCCCCTATTGTGGCCCCTTCCTACCCCTGGGGGTCATGATTTGAACAAACTTG